AGCCCGAAACGTCAGCCTTCCTGCTCCTCTGATGCTGCTTGGCCTGCTGTGTTCATCCAGCTCTACACCTTGTTATCTCAGATTCTCCAGCATCTGCAGTTCCTACTATCTCTGCAGTGGTGGACAATTGTTTTTTGGATGGGAGGCTTATGACCAGTGGTGTGCTGTGAGGTTTGGTGCTGGGTGCATTACTTTTCATCATTTATACACATGATTTCCTTGTGAATATAAGAGGGATGGTTAGAAAGTTTGTAGATGACACCAAAATTGATGGTGTAGTGGACAGTGAAGAAGGTTACCTCAGAATACAATGGGACCTTGATCAGATGGGCCAAGGGAATGGCAGATGGAGTTTAATTTAGATAAATATGAGGTGTTGCATTTTGCTAAGGCAAATCAGGGCAGGACTTACATACTTAATGGTAAGGTCCTGGGGATTGTTGCCAAACAAACACACCTTGGGGTGTAGGTTCATAGTTCCTTGATGATGGAGTCACTAGTAGGCAGGGTAGTGAAGAGGGCGCTTGGTACACTTGCCTTTATTGGTCAGTGCATTGAGTATAGGAGTTGGGATGTCATGTTTCAGTTGTACAGGACATTGGTTAGGCCACTTTTGGAATATTGTGTTCAGTTCTGGTCTCCCTGCTGTAGGAAAGGTATTGTTAAACTTGAAAGGGTGCAGAAAAGATATACAAGGATGTTACTAGGGTTGGAGAGTTTGAGCTGTAGGGAGAGGCTGAATAGGCTGGGCTATTTTCCCTGGAGCGTCGAAAGTTGAGGGGTGATCTTATAGAGGTATATAAAATCATGAGGGGCATGGATGGGGTGAATAGCCAAGTTCTTTTCCCCAGGTAGGGGGAGTCCAAAACTAGAGGGCATAGGTTTAAGGTGACAGGGGAAAGATATAAAAGTGTCCTAAAGGGCCATTTTTTCATGCAGAGGATAGTGCATGCATGGAATGTGCAGCTGGAAAAATCAGTGGAGGCTGATACAATTATAACTTTTAAAAAGCATCTAGAGGGGTACATGAAGGAAGGGCTTAGATGGATATGGGCCAAATGCTGACAAATGGGACTAGATTAATTTAGCATAGTTGGTTGGCATGGACAACTTGGACCAAAGGCTGTGTTTCCATGCCGTACAACTATGACTCTCTAATCCTGAAAGACAAAACAATCTAATTTCTGTCTTAAATGGGCAGCCCCTAACACTGAGACTATGCCCTTTGGTTCTGGACTCTCCCACAAGAGGAAACAACCTTTCCACATCTACTCTGTTAAGCCCCTAAGAATCTTATGCTTTAATAAGGTCACCACACATTCTCCTAAGCCACTCAGCACATTTTTCTTCTGCCTTGAAGTTTGGAGACTGATGAACTGCACTGCTTTTGATGCAGGTCTTTTCTCCCCGAATGACCTGCTTCTGTCTCTGAAAGAAGTCTGCACATTCAAGGGCCCTCTGAGATTTTCTGTTTTTCTAAACTTGTTTCTAATTTGTTTCTGTCTCCACCACCTTTTGACATAAAACACCTTGTCGCAACCACGTTTTTCCCAGCTTTCTACCCCTGATTTAAGGCAAAGAGCTATTTGCTTCAAGTGTTTACTGCTTCATTTAAATGCATGTAAGCAATTTTCCAGACACCTGCACCAATCACAGAACTCAAAAATGAAATAAAATTGTATCTCGCCTTCATAACACACACACAATAGAAATGTAAAATAAACTTCAATGTAGACATGGTTACATTTACTTTATACACAAGTTTCCAAATGATAATAGTAATAATATATCATGACCCTTCACCATAATACTGAGTCTAGATCTAGCCTTATGCAACTTATGTGTTTATAATCTTCAAACTTTGGCAACACTATTTTTTAAGGTTTTCCTATGTAGTATATATGATCTATTGATTCCAGTCGGAACTTCTGGCATTTGCCTCCTTACTAATCTGAGAAATAATCCTGATCAATTTTATTACCCCAATGAAGACCAATGAAAGGAGTATAACACCATGATGCCAACTGCTTGGAGCTTTGTTCTGAGAAACAATCCAAGCACCTATAAAAGAACAGAAAAGCTGATGTCTTAACACATGCTGGATGGCCTGCTGTGTGTCTCTAATATCCTCTTTCTTTGATCCAGATGTAAAGGAATTGAAGTATTTTACTTTTTTTCCTTTTATTTCCCCTATACTTGTCTTCTCGAAGTATCCTTTTAGAGGTGTAACAGTTGATTAACTTGTGCTGACTGATCAATCATACTCTGTAATATGATGAACTATCTCAATAAGATATAAATTGTTTCAAAGCATTGAGAATTTAGAATAATCTATCAAATAAAATTATTAGAGTAATTTTAATGCAACAGGACTTTACTGAGTGACAGCATATTGCATGGGTTCAAGATTTAGAGCTTTGAAGTATTGTTTGGTCTTTTCTAATCCCTTCTATTTTCTCAATAGCCTGAATATTCCAAACCCTTATTTTTGATGCACATTAGATAATAGGTTGTGTACTTAACTTCCCAGGAATTTTCCCGCCGGACTTTGATGCAAGATCCATCCCAACAAATCAGTCCAAGAAAACTTATTGTAGGAAGCATTTCAGTAGATTGTCTCGGAAGCTATGCCCTTTTATAGCAATAGCTGCCACACTGAGGTAAGTAAAAACAGTTTAAAAGTTCCAGAGTCTCTTTAAAAGTTACTGAAAGGAGATAAGCGTGTAACGTGAATGGGTGGGAGTAAGTTGTCAGGTGGGAATGGTAATAGTGATATAGTGCCAGGTGGGTAAAGGGGTAAGGCGCTAGGTGGATGAAGGGATATAATAGTAGATAAGTGTATAAGGGGTTTAGTGGCAGTTTGGTAAGAGAATAGGGTATATATGTGGAAGTTAAATGGATAAAAGAGCAGGGTGGGTCTGATATCAGGAGTGGCATACCAGGTCAAGGTATTACTTGTCGGGTGTCAGGGTGCATGGTGTGTCAACTGTTGTGATAGGGAGCATACATATGCCAGGAGATTGGGATTGAATATCAAGGGGGTAGATATTGGAAGATCAGTTTGGATGTTCAGACGGGGTCAGTATGAGCAAACAGGGAGTCAGTGTGAGTGATTAGATGTTAGTTTTATAGTTAGCCACTAGTTAGAAGAGGTTTTAATTCCTTTAACCATTTTTGGCGACCTATAGGGTCATGTAAATCAGAACACTCTAAAGCCTCCAACCCTAACCCAGTGTTATGCTCTTTTTCACCAGATAATTAATTATCAGAGGTTTAGACTTTCCAGGAGATAACTTCATAGTCAGTGGGTTAGAATTTCTGAGAGGTCCTGACACATATCTTTCAGGATACACATGCCTATTCTTCAACTATCCAGAGACTGGAAGATCTAGGCCAATATTTGTCTGCATTATACTCCGTTATCTAGATAAGGAATTTGCTCCGTACTTTCTCAGTGTTGCTGTTTGGTCATCTGCTACAAATTACACGAGAAGAGCTTTGCCTAACTTCACAACGATCTTTAGTGAACCAATTCCACTTGGTATTTGTGTCATACAATGGTTAATAGGAAATATTGGTATATAGTTGCACATTACCACATAGCAAAGCTATACCTGTAAGCTAATACATGAGGCAACATGTCATTGAATTTTGAGATTTCAGCCATTTATTTTCAATAATTCAACAATCAAATATGTATGTAGTCCAGTACCTTGTGCATGGAGTGATATGAGACATAAGTTTGTGCTTTTGATCCCTGATGTAGGAAGTTCTGATTGTCAGTCATATTATCAAACAGAGGCGTTAACTTTGAGGTCAGACTATCCAATGATATATCCTGATTTATGTTAAGACTGATTTTATTCAGTGAATAATCATAGCATCACCAAGTATTACTGTATCATGGTGATGTGAAAACATTTAAGCAGTCAGGCAGTTACAGACATTTATGTAGGATCATTGTCTATCAGGCACTTGTCATGTTGTATATTTTACTAATATTTACAAAATGCGTTTTTCCATTATATATCAGACTTGGTTACCCATTAACGATGTCACAATGCAATTCTTAAATGCAGGTTTGAAATGTGCAGAAAGCATTAGAGTCTAGTGTGAATAATAGGCCACGTTGTAGTGTCATGTCTAGCTATTCATCCAGTTTGTCTTACAACGTATAGTTGTCATTTTAATATTGTCTTATGAAAATGCCATATTTTTAAAGATCCCCGAAGCCATTAAAGGTCCTCACTCATAATAATTTCTATTGTCTGTTCGATTGGTTGAAATTAAAATTCACAAGTATTGTTAAACATGACATTTTATTGAATGTTCTTAATTGCTAACATTTCAAGATGTTTTGCTTTCTCTTCTGCAAACATTCACAGATAATTGAAACAATTTGAAATGCAGTTTGGTGATTTTGTAATCTCATATATTCACTCCGACACTTTGTAGTATTTTCTGTAAATTCATGTCAAAATTAAAAACGGATATTTTGGGAATTTGGTACATTTGAATAAAATAAATTTTAAAAAGTTGCTTTTCCAGCTGGTTTTCAGCTGAAATTTCCCCAGCAAAATCCTGGGCCTGAATTTTCATGGAAACTTCATCCCTTGGCCAAAAAGAAAGTCAAGCCCCTATTTCTGACAGATGTTATTTTTGCCAGAGCAAAAGGGTCAGGACGTGATTTACACATATGGGAAACACAAATCCAGCATTGTTATTTGAATTCAGTGCTGAGTTCACAGAGGCCCCATTTTCACTGGAGAGGAATTTATAGCACAGAATCTGTGACTAACGATTATTAAAAATAGATGTGAATATGTGTAAAAAGTGGAAAAGGGTCTTTGAAACTGATAATTTGTCAATTTATTTAAATCTCCTGCTGTATAAAACTTGGAAAAAAAAGCCTGCTGTGACTCTAAGTTAAGAAAAATTGGCTGTTTCAATATCAATTGCAATTTGTTGACAAAAGGCTGTGGGTTATCATTATAATATTAGTACAGCTTGACGACCTCTACAACCTGCCATTATCACAATATGGAGCATGAAGGTTCACATCTTGAGTGACAGCTCTATGTGGTCGTACAGGCATTCACTGTCTTTGATGTGGGGCTATGACTATAAATGTTACTATAAGGGATTGAGTACTTGAAGAGATTTAAATGTATTGGATGGTGTTTTAGCAATGATTATTGACAATTTTAATACAGTGAAGTCTCTATAGATACTTAATGCATTATTTATTTAATTTCAGTATAGTTTCTGAGCTCTGCCAATGATGGATACTGAGTGAGTTGACATGGATATTCTAAGGATGAACAATGAAGGATTGTGGGTGAGGAGACATGTGTTGGCACTCAGTTGACATAGGGACTATAAGGGATATGACGGCTCTGTAGAGAGGCACTGGGTGCCCTTGAGGGAGTAAGGGTCATGGGATGTGCTTGAGGTGACATAAATTAGTTTGATGGGGCACAGGGCATGTGTAACTGATGAGAGATAGAGAGCCTTATTGACTTTACTAAACCTGGAGCAGCAATAAGTCAGATTATTCAAAGAACCTGCTTCAGCACTAAGAAGGCCTGTGACTTCCACCACACTGTTTGAAGGGGTGGGAAGACCCAACTCCAGTACACAAGCTCCCTCCCTGAGCTAGCTTCTGGCAGTGCAGTGTAATTTCTCCCAAGTTACGTTCACAAAGTCAGGAAGATTCTGAACTTAGAGCACCCAACTCAGGATGAAAATTTGAGCCTGGTCTTGTTTCAGGAATGTGAATTACAAAATGACTTACTTACTGTTAGGTCAGTCTAGCATTGATTGAGAACAAGTACTTTATAAAATAAAAATATAATGACCAAGTGGCCTGTGAGAAACTGAATAAGAGCTGTTGATCAAATAATAAACAAAAGATAATAAAAACAAAAGTCTCAGTTACTGTAATGACTACCATGACAATTGATTTGCCTGTGACATATTCTCACTTGGTAGCTGCAGACTGATGAATATTATAGTCGATCTTACGTAAATCACTTTCTGTGCTTTTGTACTGTGTGAAAAAAGGCCTGGCTTGCAGTTGAGCTGACCAATCCAAAAATATCTATCAGATCCTATGATAATCGTCACTGTACATCCCAAATTTCACACAGCAAGGGTGTGAGTTTCTGATCCTTTGTTTTCCATGACATCAGTACCTCTGAATGGTTGTGGTTAAGGGTTCTAAGTTGAGTAAGGCGACCCAACAACCGAGCAAAGCGCTGTGGACTTTCTGGATGATGGATCTTGGAGTACTTGTACAAAACCTCCAAAAGAGGCTCCTGCAACTTTTCTACATGTATTTTATCCTTTATATAGGGTCGATCTGCCGAACAAAAAAAAGAAAAGTGAACAACCAAATATGGCATAATTGAATTACAAATATTAAAGTACGTGGAGTTGATTTTCAGCTTTCAGTTAAAATGTTAAGTCTTGTCCGTATACAGCATAGAAAAGAAAATTAGGTAGGAAATTTTTCTTGCATTTAAGTAAGTGGGAGTGATGCCCACCAAATTCTATTAGTGGTGTGTAAACCTGCTTTCTGCATTTTGGCTAGGTAATGCTGACCAACCATTCAGTAAGTACAAAAATCTAACCCTTGCAGTAGCACTATTCCAACAAACTTGTTCAAGTAAGAGAACCATGAATGCTGAAAATTCCAAAGAGCAGATAAAACAAAATCCAATTTTTAGTGGATTGTCGTGTATGCCCTCACTTTCCTATCATTAGTAAAAGCAAAGCCATTCAAAATTATAATTGCTATTAACCTGATTGTCCATATCTTCTTGCTTCATCTGAAGCAGTTATTGAATGCATACCTGTGCCAACAGTCTTGCTTTTCGCTTTTAAACCATATATAAATGCAGCTGGCTTACCATGATTCCTGGCTGTTTCATTCTTACTGCTTCCTGCTGGCAAACTATACAGCCACACAAGTCTACTTCTATTCATTCAAGCTATAAATAATTTGATTTTTAATAATAAGAAGGGTCTTTTTTGTTGTGTCAACTACTTAATTGTATTAATTGAATTACTTAATTTAAATTATTGAATAATTTGTAGTGAAATTAATAACTGACATCGTTAGATTGTAGAAAGTATGGCATGTGCCAACACTCTAATCACTTGATAAAGTAGTTAGAGTTGCAAATTTTGGTAATTTCCTTTATTAAAATACTCGCAGACTATTTTGACTGAAGTTCATTTCATAGCTAAGGAACATTTTAGATAAGATAGCACTTTAAAGATTTGTGTCTTACCCACACACTGAATTTGATATGAGAGAAATTAAATATCAAATCATAAGTTCATGTGCATTATTTTATTCATTCAAGCAAAGGAAGGTGGAATGAAATCTTTTTATGTCCACAATTAAGCTTTTTCGTCTTCTTGATTTGTCACTTTACAACCTTCTAGTTACAACAGCTAGAAGGTCCCGTCCAAGTTAATTCTTTCTTTTCATATTTCCCCTTTGCAACCTAGCCTATCAATGGTATCAACCTCCATCCTGGTTACTCAGTGTAAGGGCTGCTTGCAATCCCATTAATGGCCAGTGCTATAAGTCCACTTCTGGGACTAGAGTTGCCAGCTATTTGATTAGTCACCTGCTCTTAGAAGCAGAATTCCCTCTCTTGTAGGGACAGAAGACCCATGGTGAGCTAACTAAAGGCCCAACAACCACACCCTGCCTGAAATTCTGCCCAGCATTGATTTCAATGACTTATGACTACTGCTTCTATACTTTTAAAACACATGCTCTAATAATCCTTTCTGTTACAAACCATTGTCACTTTCATTACTTAATTACTACTGCTTTCCATCATAACACAGACCTACTCTTTTATTCTTTCCTCACCTTCTCCTGTTCCATCCTTCAATCACCAGTCCCTGCTTTTGTACTTGTTTAAATACTAATAGGTCTCCAGCTTCTTCCATAACTGATGAAATATTATCAACCTGAAATGCTAACTCTCTATAGGGTCTGATTTTAACTCAGTGCAAGTGGATTGATTTTGAATGAGGTAAGATCTCACCATAGGTTTCTTTTTCAAAAGATGCTTTTCAAGCAATTTCAGTTTTCTTTTTTCTCTCAAGATCACTGTGATGTAAAGGAAAACTCTCCACGAAGAGCTACGACATTATAACTTAGCCTAGCTTCAGAATCTGCACCGTACCTCACTCCTGTATTTCCAAAATGTTTCCATTCTTGAGGACATTTATCAATTGCTATCAAATTGTCAGCAGTTTAATGGTCTGGGGCTACACCCACAAGAAACAGCAAAGAGTATGTTGCAAGGTGTGATACTTCACACCATTAAAGGTGCTATATAAATATGTTATTGTTGTAAATGTTAGAAACATCACTGATTTTTCATTATTTTTATTTTACTCTCTTATCAATTTGGTTTGGAATTGGGAACTGTGAGCTAAAGATGATTTTTGGAATGTGGATGACAGTTTATGTTAAAAGAAAAACAGACCAAACAAGCTTTTGTTTATTCATGAGGATAGGTTTGGATGTTAATTGCAAGTTGGTTCCTGATCAAAATGTCCTGCAGATGCTTCATCACTAGGGAAGAATATTATATTAAACAGATAGCAGAAGTTGGTTATTAACAAGGTTAGTACCTGGGATTTGGTTCCAGCAAGTTTGGGAGAGAACTTATACTCAAACAGATGGCAGATGTTGAATTCTATTGGGATTCCATGGGGTAGATGGTTAGTCAGTCAAGGTGTGCCTAGAGTTGGAACTGGCTTTTGAATGGTGGTTTCTGTGAGAAAGAGCCTGGTTGTTGATGCTACAGCATGAAGATTTGAAAGCTCCCTGCCTAACCTCTCATAAGCAGCTTCTGGAAGTTTAGAGAATAGAAAACTAAGTTTAAGTATTACTGCCTTTATCTGAGTGAACTGAAGAGGGGACCCAATTGAGACTTTCAGAGAATCAGCCAAGAAACTATTGTCAATGCCTGTGAAACAGCAAATCATGAAAGTCACTTTTGTAATCTGGCCAGTTGTGTTATATGCTTTTATTTATCCCTTAACTATGTTAGTTTGTATTTTATGTGAATAGAGTTGAAAACAAAAGATTTTGGGTTTATGGTTTAGACCAATCAATTGCTTTGTTGTCTAATTTTGCTCTCGTATGTTACTTTATTATTAACAAATTTCTAAGTCTTATATTTAACATACAGATCAATGTCTGGAACTTATTATCCAGAGTGTGAGATTGGTTATTCAAAAGTCTGGTTAAGAACCATCAGGGTCAATTTTGAAGGTCTTTGAAGATTTTCATTTTACCGTGTTATAAACACAGTGGTAGAAAAACTGATTTGGTTCAGTTGGCTGTCTCCGTGTTGTAAATTTAATAAGAAGTAAGCTTTTCTTCTAAAACTTCATATGTATATCAGAATATTCATTGAAAATTCTGCCCGTCATGCATGCAAATCCCTTTAAACAACACATCAGTTCCCAGACCATTTCAGCTTTCCTCCCTGGAGCCGATCTCAAACAATATATGTATATGATTGGGTCAGATTCACTAACTAAATTAAATTAATGCCATAATTTATGATTTTGTTTTACCTGAAAAAAGAATTGTGGTTGCAGAAAGTAAGGCATATTCAATATCTGTCACATTCAGTTCTCCCATACTTCTGTAGAAGTCGAACATTGGTGTTATAAATTCTTCAGCTGTACCTGGTCATACAAAGGAGTAAAATTAAACTTTCCAGATTTACTTTTTAATGAAAAAGACCACAAAATGTATGTTAGCTAAATTGTGATGCATATGTGTAAACATTTTAGTGATAGATAAAAAAAAAATCAGTAAAAAGGTAAACAGTGACATTTGAAGAACTAATTTACTGACATAAATTGGACCCTTATTCCTTTCTCATGAAATAATTGCCCAATGATGAAAAAATTATGAAGTGTACAGTCTCATCTAGAATTTACAACATTTCAAAATTGCTTTTAATCTGCCTACACCTGAATGGAATTTATATCATGGGGTTTTCTGTAGAAAGCAATAAAGGCTTGAATCCTTAAAGGTATAACTAATCAGCATCACTTCTATATTTCCTTAGGAAAATACATTAATTTAGTTATAAACTGTGATGGGGTTATAAACATGATTTAGTTATAAACATGTTTGTTTTTATTTTGCTATATAATACCTTGTAAAGACAAACATCTCATTCAACAGTGAACACTGCAATTGTAGTCCACAACCCCTTGATCTAACTATCTGTAAAATGGCAGGCACTTTACTGTGTACACTCTGCTTATAATTGATGGTTATGAAATCAGTCTTGCAGTAGTAATCCAATATAGAATCATAGAACCCCTACAATGTGGAAACAGGCCATACAGCCCAACAAGTCCACACCACCCCTCCAAATATCATCCCACCCAGATCCATTCCCCTACCTCTACATTTCCCATGTCTAACCCACCTAACCTAAACATCCCTGGACACTATGGGCAATTTAGCATAGCCAATCCACCTACCCTGCACATCTTTGGACTGTGGGAGGAAATCAGAGCACCCGGAGGAAACCCACGCAGATACAGGGAGAATGTGCAAACTCTACACAGTCGCCCAAACCTGGGTCGCTGGTGCTATGAGGCAGCAGTGCTAACCACTGAGCCACTGTGCCAATGGAAGTCTCCGGCCTAGGTCAGCAGAGTAACATTGCTAGCATTTTATTAACATTTCAAATTTTCATCAAATATTTAAACACCACTATTTTTTTGTCATTGGGCTCCTATTTCATGAGAAGGGAATAAGACTTTAATTTTTGTCAGCAAATGGGCTGGTCAAGCATCACTGTTTAGTTTACCTTTTTACTGTTTACTGTTTAATTTGTTTTTAAATGCCTTGACAGTATCACAGCTCCCTTTGACAGGTGTTTTTGACAGTTCCTCAAAAGTTCCTCTGGCAGTTCCACTTGACAGTTTCTCTGGGCAGGTCCTCTTGATACATTTGACAGTTTCCTTTGATAGGTCCTCTGACAGCTACTTTTGATACTTTTTTGGAAGTTGATTTTGACAGATCTGTTGACAATTCCATTCAGCTTAGCAGTTAATTGGTTTATGCATTTTTACACCACGTTTAATAAATCCAAAGAGCATTTGACATTTCCTAAGGTATACATGACATCCTCCAAAATGTCCCAAAATCATATCCAAAGACATAATTTACCTAAATGTTTCCACAAAGTTTTTAGATCTACCTCTGTCATGATAAAGCTGAACATTTTGTATTTCGGATATCCAGGTCACCAGAATCATGTGGGAGTGCAGTCAGCTATTCATTTCTATTGGCAAATTTGTCTGCAAATTATACACATGCAAAGCATAAACTGACACCATTCCCATCTCTGTGAAAATAGTGGGGGAAGTGTTCAGAGTTGAGATTTCCAAATTTTGGTCACATCTATAGTTTCTGATTTATGAGTGGTTTTCATTATGGCAAAAGTCCAGGCTTTTACTTCTAATTTTCATTCCTCCCTTGCATTCATATAATCTATTTTCAGCTTTTCTGTTGCCTGCCTTGACTTCACAGTTTCCACTTTAGGAGATATTCAATATTTACTGTAAGCCCGCAGACTTACACAGAATATATTATTAACAATATTTCCTCATTTTCCATATGAACTCTATTCCATTCTTCCACTTGTTCTGTCTTCTTCACATCTATTCAAATCATACAACTTTCCATACCATTGCTTCCAACATGTTTTTCTATTTTCTCAGCCAAGGGTTATTGCCACAAGGGCCATTATAGTGACCAGTCCATTTTGCACTTCCACTTTAACCCCTTCAACTCTTTTACAAATCAACAATAGGGTTGCTCTTGACTTCAATATCTACCTCACCATACTCTACATTCAATGGATCTCACAATTCCACTACCTCCAGCATGTTGCCGCAACTAAACCTTTCCCTACACTACCTGCATTCTGAAGAGTCTTTTTCCTCTGTGACATTCTGAAACACTCAACAATCACCCTCAAAATAATTTCCCTCTCACAGCACCATTTGTAGTATAGGAGTGCAATGCCTTGTGTTTTATCTCTTCCCTTCTAACCATCCAAGGCCCAAACAATTCCCTTCAAGTGAAATAATGATTTAATTGTATTTTCACTTTAGATATATTGTATTTACTGATTACAATACAAATGCTCTGTACTAGGGAGGCCGATTGTAAGTTGAGTGACTACTTTGCAGAACACTTCTACTCCTGCTTTAGTTGGGGCTAACCACTAAACAAATTAGGTAGTCGCTTAGGCCAGCAGAATTTGGGAGGGGAGCAAAAACAAAGATACCCAATTTTTCTTAAAAAATCAGGCAACAAACCACAAAGCTGCTGAAGATCTTTTTTGTTTTCAGCACCAGTCATTTTCTTTTAAAAAATATTGTCAGTTGAACTGACAGTTGATGAATATGGGAAATGACTGCAAAGTTATGTTTGAAAGAGAAGTGTTTTCTCTAATCACAGGTTCTGTCTCTCTAAAATTTCCTGCTGTACCTCTAATCAAAGATTCTGTACCTGAAAGCTGTTCCCAGGAGACTTTCAGCTTGCCCTCTCCTAATCCAAGCTGCCAATGGCAGTGGCTGTCCCACTGTCTGTTCCTCTGGTCCACTTATTTTCAAGTGAAGTTTAATAACCTCCTTCATGAACATTCCTTGTTCTCTGCCATTAAATTGCTGGTCAGAGGTTCCATCTATTATGTGGATTAATTTTAGAATCATTCAGGAGGAAATTGTAGTCGTTCCTGAAAAACACAGCATGGTCTGTGTTTTCATTACTTAAGGACTTTTACATTTCTCGATGTGTTTATATCCATTGTTTGTTACTGCAATGTTGGCAGAGTTTTGCCTGGGACACCTAATACTCTTGCACCAATTATGGCTTAATTGTACCAGTAATCAATATTTATAATTGTACCAGTAGCTAAACTAAACATGACCAGCTGGGATGGTAGTCCTGATAGTTAGTTAGAACATTTAATTGGAAATAATCCAAAGATAGATTTTCTAGATTCCAAGTGATGAGGCTGTGACTATTTCTTTAGCAGTTTGTTTCATTGTGGGATTGTCCTTCAGAAGAAAGATTATAGATGTTGTCAAATGGACTTCAGCAAGGTGTTTGACAAGGTTCTGCATGGTAGATTGGTTAGCAAGGTTAAATCACACGGAATCCAGAGGAAGCTAACCAAATGGATACAAAATTGGCTTGAAGGTAGGAGACAGAGAGTGGTGGTGGAAGGTTGTTTTTTGGACTGGAGGCCTGTGACCAATGGTATGCCATAAAGATCAGAGCTGAGTCCATTGCTTTTCTTCATTTCTATAATGGATTTGGATATGAATATAGGAGGAATGGTTAGTAAGTTTACAGATGACACCAAAATTGGTGGTGTAGTGGACAGTGAAGAAGGTTGTCTCAGAGTAAAATGGGACTTGATCAAATGGGCCAATGAGCTGAGGAGTGGCAGATGAAGTTTAATTTAGATAATTTTGGTAAGGCAACTCAGGGCAAGACTTATACAGTAACGGTAGGGCTATTAGGAATGTTGCTGAACACAGAGACCTAGGAGTGTAGGGGTATAATTCCTTGGAAGTGGAGTCACAGGTAGATGGGGTGGTGGAGAAGGCATTTGGCAGGCTTGCTTTTATTGGTCAGTGCATTGAGTATAGGAGTTGGGAGGTCATGTTGTAGCTGTACAAAACATTGGTTAGCCCACTTTTGGAATACTGCATTTAATTCTGTTCTCCCCGTTACAAGAAAGACTTTGCTAAACTTGAAAGGGTTCAGCAAAGATTTACAAGGATGTTGCCGGGATTAAAGGATTTGAGTTATAGGGAGAGGCTGAATAGGCTGGGGCTATTTTCCCAGGAGCGTCGGAGGCTGAGGGGTGACCTTATAGAGGTTTATTAATTCACGATGGGCATGGATAGGGTGAATAGCCAAGGTCATTTTCCCAGGATAGTGGAGCCCAAAACTAAGTGGGGGAAGTTTAAAAGGGACCTGCAGGGCAACGTTTTCACGTAGAGGGTAGTGCATGTATGGAATGAGCTGCCACAGGAGGCAGTGGAGGTGGGTACAATTACAACATTTAAAATGCATCTGGATGGGTATGAATAGGAAGGGTTTAGAGGGATATGGGCCAAATGCTGGCAAATGGGACTAGATCAGTTTAGGATATCTGATTGGCATGGATGAGTTTGACTGAAGGGTCCATTTGTGCTGTATAACTCTATGACTTTATGACTTTATTTTGGAAACAAATGGAGTTTATAGTTTGTTTGTCTAGCTATTCATTTAGTCCATTCAGACAACCTTTTATCCAGTTCATAAGAAGAACAATAATATTAGGATACTCCTCAATTTAGTTTTAGTAAATAGAGTGGAACTAGTGAAAGGCATGTCGATGGGAGTGTATTCTAATGGTAGTGATCATAATTCAACCAGATTTAGAGTAGTGTATGGAAAAAAAAAGCAAGGATATGTTTCTTTGCCTTGCATTATCTCATCATTCTCTGGATTATATTCCATCACATCTTTTACTGCTCATCTGATATCTGTCGGCATCTACTTGCAAGCTGTAGCTTCCTTTATCACTAAACATTGTAGGCACAAGCTTTGAATCACCCTTAATCATGATCTAAATCATTGATATATAGTACAAAAATCAAAAAAGAATCTGCTGGGCCCTGCAGATCATACAGAAAACACCATCTCCCAGTTACAAAAACACCTTTTTGAATACGGTAACAGAGAGGCTGACGTTTCGGACCTCTCTCCCACTGCACCTCTCCTCTATCCCTCTTCTATCCGCCTCCCACTCTCTCCCTATTTATTTCAGAACCCCCTTCCCCTCCCCCTTTTCTGATGAAGGGTCTAGGCCCGAAACGTCAGCCTCTCTGCTCCTATGATGCTGCTTGGCCTGCTGTGTTCATCCAGCCTTGCACCTTGTTGTCTCGGATTCTCCAGCATCTGCAGTTCCTACTATTTTTGAATACGGTAATTTGTTTCCAACCACTGAGTCAATATTAGATTTAACATACCATTTTGTTGTGAATTCAATGGGTTTTTACTTTTCTAAGTAGTTTGACATGGGCACTTTAGTCAGGAGCCTTGCAAAAATCCATATAGTTTACACAATCTCACTGATTCCCCTAACCACCGCTGCAGTAATCACCCGTCACGCTATCAAAAAAAATCACTATGCAAAAGTCAAAGTTGTTGAGTGCAATAAGTATAGCGAAGGAACAAAGATTATGTGCAGATGAGGTATCGATGATTATATAGCAGCCATCTGAATGAAATATGAAGGGATAAAGCTAAAGAAATGAGTCAGCAAAGAAAAAGACAGACTTAAAAGGAATAAAATGAAGGCAGAGGTTATGATCTGATGTTGTTGACTCAACATTGAGTAACAAAGGCTGTAGTATGCCAATAAATAAAAGATGAGGCACTGTTCCTTGAATCCCATTGCTGTGAATATTCACAATTCGTCCTTATTTGTTGCAAATGTACAATCTTTAAAGTATTGAGAATATTAAATTTGTACTTATCATTCCTAAATAATATATGTATCCTTGTCCTACAAAACTTCATCTTGCATTTGAAAGAGCAAGTATATTATGTGGATTGTGACTGCCTTTACCATAATTACTGCAACACGATAACTGTACAGGAAGATGGTACCTAATGCACAATTTGGAACAATAATTGAAATTTCATCCAGATGGGACTGCTCCATCGTAACGGTTGGAACATGCTCTTCAAAACACTGGTTATGACAGCACCCAGAGAATGTGGAATAGTGATCAGTGTCTGCAAAACAAAGAAAAGAATCATTTGGAAAAACAGAGTTCCAATCAGGTATAGCCCAAAGTCATTTGACAAAATATTATCCACAAATATATTCTCCAATATACATTTTGTACCTTAGTAAAAGCAAAGCAGTTCAGAAGAGGAACAAAATGAATTGATTAATGTAAAATATTAAAATTAAGAATCAAACTTAAAGGAAACAACTGGTCACAAATTCTATATTGTATATAGAGATCGTCCCTACTCTTTAAAATAAGAAGGTGATGAGAATTGTCTGGAAAGTAAACAATATGGATTGAATGTTATGATTCTTGTTTAAGTCTAAATTATACTGAGTTTTTTGGAGGATGTGTCACTGGGAGACCTACTGAGTTCTCTTGCCCTATCTTGCCAAATTCACTTCATTAACTATCTACCCCCACCTCTTTTACGTTTCTTGCGTCTGACTACTGTCCATTACCACAAGCTATTCCTGGAACGACTTGCCACTCGGCAGATATCCCAGAATTCACTAACATACCTTACGCCCACATCATCTTTGGAAACCCAATGTTCACCTGGAGAAGAACTGTCAGTCCAGAGATTACCTGCACATTTGCTCATATTTGTCCTGGACATGGCAGACAAGAAGAAATCAGTGCCCTACTTTGTAGCAGGATGCTGGAGATCCTGCCGGACAGGGTGGTTTTGACACAGAGCTTCCTCCTCCCCCAGGACCAGCAATGGAGGCCACAGGACCAAACCATGCCAGTTTGATCCGAGGTGACCACCTGGGATAAAGCAATCACAGACAGCTGGAGGAAAGCCCAGCACAGTAGGAAGAAGATCATTGTCCTTCTCTTCTCCACCAATGTAAGTGGCATCATTTTTTGTCCAATACCTCACACTCACTCTGTCTCTGTTACTGTACAAATCTCCTACCAACGCTCATGCTCTACCACTCTCACTACTGCCTACAACATTTTCACTTACTGTCACCCATCCCCCCACCCTGACACTGCTAATGCTGTTTACCCGCTGAGCTGCCTACCCACTCGCTTAGGCCACCACCCCACCTGCATCAATGGTAATTAACAGCTATACCACACACTTCCGTCTTCTATAATGCCTACCCTCTCTCATCCTAGCAGGAAGACAGTCTGTGATAGGGCAAAAAGAGACAAGATGGATGATGTGCTGCCCAACATTGAGTTTCTCACTCCTTGTGAGGAAAGGATCCTGATTCTGATCATCTTGAGCAGCTGACTGACCATTTCCAAGCCCATGGACGTTTATCAGAGGCTGTTCTTGACCTACTGTGCTGAGACCCCTGAACAAATCCCTTGAGTTGACTAAAGACTGCTGACAAATGTAACAAGGTTCCTGGTATTTTGTCTGTGCTAAACGGCAAGGCACGGCAGCTTTAATATGAACCTGTTATCTCTGGCTGAGAGGACAAAGTGGTAAAAAGACAAGGATGGGATGCTTTGAGCATTGGAAGGACCATGTTCTATTTTTCTGTATTTTTGATTGTGGACTGAGATGGAAAGGGACTGTTTTAAAGCCAAGTTTTGTGGAAAAGATTAATACATGTTTTAATAACAAGTTTCCTGATACTTATTGTAAGTGTTGTTTATTCAACCTATAGGGTATGTTACAATATACAAACTGGAGCCAAGGGGTGTGTACAAATGGAGATCTGGGTGGCAACAATTATCTGATTGTTCTAAGGAATTATGACCTGCTGTTGATGACAGAGGCCTTCTGCCTGCCAACAACAATGTGATTCACCCCCAAAGTAGCCGAACAGGATTGATTTGAAATGGCTGCAATGATGATTCGGGTGTAGTGTTAATAAATAACAAATGAAGGAAATGTCAGGTTCTCTACTGCATTTAATTCAAAGAACTGGAAATGTCAAAGGATTTCCTACATGTGGGCAGAGTTGTTCCTTGCGATCTTAAAGGAACTTGCAAAGACAAGGTTGGGATAGTTAAAAAATTACCTGTGGATGGAATTGATTTACTTTTGGAGAATGGTTTAGCAGGAGTGAAAGTTATAGTTTCACTATATAATCATGGAAAGTCTAGTTGAGGCCAAAGAGGTGGAACATTTGCAGGAACAGTTTCTGGTTATTTTTCCACCGTGTGTAGTGACCAGAACTGTGGTAAAAGATGTCTATTAGCAGAGATCATGGTAATGCAGCAAGCAGATGTTAGAAACTCTCTTTAAAAATGAGGATAATTCAAAAATGGTATTTGTCATGCCTTTGTTAATTGAGGTTCAGGAAGCAGATCCAGAGTTAAATTACTTAGCAAAGACAGCTCGCCCTGGATCTGAGGCTGAAGCAGTTCCTGAGTATTATTTTCATAAAAATATAGTTCTGACAAGGAAGTGGCCTGTAGATGAAGAATGGAGGATTGTACCTCCCAGAATTTGTAAGGAAAAATTGTTTATGAAGTTCCTTTTGCAAGGCATTAAGGAATGCAGAAAACACAGGCTTCAATAAATGAATCAGAGATAGTAAGAACTGCCGATGCTGGAGTCAGAGATAACACACTGGGGAGCTGGAGGAACACAGCAGGCCAGGCAGCATCAGAGAAACAGGAAAGCTGACGTTTCGGGTCAGGACCCTTCTCAGAAATGGAGGAGGGGTAGGGGGCTCTGAAATAACTAGAGAGAGGAGGGATGGGGCTGGGGAAGGTAGGTAGGGTGGTGATAGTGAATGTAGGTAGGCGATGGTGGGGGTTGGTCAGTGAGGTGGGAGGAGCGGATAGGTGGGAGAGGGGCTTCGATAAATAGGTATTTTACATGACCAAGACTTAAAGAAGACGTAGTGTAGTTCTGTGAAATATGTCATATATAACAAGTGGTGGTATAGTCTCAACATGTAATCAAACCATCTCCTTTGATACCCATACCAGTTTTTGAAGAACCATTTAGCTGAGTGTTAGTAGATTGTGTTGAACCATCCTGACAATTATGGATGTGAAAACTAGATTCCGGAAGCAAGTTCTTTAAGGACAATTACATTTAGAATAGCAGTGGTAGAGTTAACTCAGTCTTTTACTTGTTATGGACTACCATTTGAGATATTTTCTAATCAGTGTTGTAACTTCATGTTGAATGTTTGCCAGGAGATCATTAGTAGTTTAGGTATAAAGCAATTGAAGTCAGCTGCTTTGGAGAGAAACTATTAGACTTTAAAAGAACATTATTAAGGCATACTGTCAGAAATACCCACAGGATTGGGACAAAAGATTAGACTTTTTACTATTTGCTACCACAAAGTCCCAAATGAATCCATTGGGTTTAGTCTATTTGAATTGTTTTATGATCATAACACTAGATGGATACATTAAAATTCATTAGAATTCTTGAACCACAAAGATGTTGGATTATGTGCCATGTTTCTATAAAGGCTCATGGGACCACATAGGAAAGCACAAGAACATCTCATTCGGTGACTAGGATGAAGAATTGATATTGTTGCCTACGCATGGTGAACGTCAGAGTAAAACTGAGTGGACCCTACAAAGTAGTTAAGAAGGTTGGTAAAGTGAGTTATCTGATTAATACTCCTGATCATTGGAAGAACAAGTTATGTTACAAAAACATATTGAAAAGGTATTGTAGAAAGGAGGCTAAGGAAGAACAGGGATGTCAGCTGGTAAGAATAGTGGAAGGTGACAGAGATAATGAGAGTGAGATAGAAAAAAAAGTAAACAGTTCTCAAAGTGAACCTCCTACAATTTGACTAGATAACACAGGAATATTGGGACAGTTAGACACTGTGTTCTCATATTCAGAGAAAGGACAATGGGAGGATCTTGGAAGACAACTGAGAAAGTATGGGTAATCTGTAGAAATGCACCTGGATGTACTACATTAGTTAAAGATGTTGTGGATGTGGGAGAGTCAGGACCAATAAAAAGACATCCTGATTGTTTGAGTCCAGAAAAACAATATCAGGTAAACATGGAAATTCAATACATACCGGAAAACCACTTGATTGTATTAATCAAAGTAGCTGGCGGTCACCTGTAGTGCTATTTCATAAACTAGATGGATTGACTAAAGTATAGATTACAGAAAGGTAAATGCTGGCACAAAGACATGATGTGGAGGTACTGGTGTTAGACTGCAGTGGAAAAGGTCAGAAATCACACGACACCAGGTTATAGTCCAACATATTTATTTGAAAACACCAGCTTTTGGAGCCTCACTCCTTCTACAGGTGTTAGTGAGAGAGATAGTATCAGACATAGAATTTACAAGTAAAAGATTGAAGGGTCTCACCACTGATGAGGATGTACTAAACAAACCTAAGATGCTGTTAAATCTTTAATCAGTTAGAAGGTTTTAATTGATTAATATGCGTATGTAAATCCAACTGTCCTGAGAGAACTAAAGGTTTCATCAGTGTAAAGAAGAGGTGGCATTTTAGGTCAGATAATGCACGTTAGGTGTGAGGCCTTGTTTAGAATCTGTTTGTGTTTTGGTTTGGAATCAGACTGGTTTTATTTCTAAAGTAGGAATTTATAAAACACCACATTGACTGACTGTCTAAAAATTGTGTGCTTTTTGAACAAAATACCTGCAAATACAAATTCACCCCATAGATTCACATGTGCATGCGTGTGTGTGTGTGTGTGTATGTGAGACAGAGTGTGAGGGGGAGAAAGAGAGTGTGTGAGGGGAAGAGAGAGAGGAAGTGTGTGTGTGTGGGAGAGAGCATGTGTGTGTGGGAATGTGTGTGTTTGTGGGAGATAGAATGTGTGAGGGGTAGAGAGGGAGAGAAAGAGAGAGAGAAAGAACGTGTGTGTGTATGAGGGAGAGAGTGAAAGGACACCGCGCAACAATTGCCACACTTCAGTGGTCAAGGACATTCGGCCTCAGATCTTTGAATAAACATCCTCCAATACAGACATCGGGATACACAACAACGCAGAGTCACCGAGCAGAAGCTGATAGCCAAGTTCGGTACTCGTGAGGATGGCCTCAACCGGGATCTTCGATTCATTTTGCACTACAGGTGACGCAACAAACTATACACTCTCACACACACACATATCTACACACACACTCACACACATACACACACACTCACTGACACAAACACTTACACACTCACACATACACACACATGCGCGCTCTCTCCCTCTCCATCTCTCTTATGCACACACACACTATCACACAGATCCTCTCTCATACACACACTGTCCCTCAAACACACACACTCTCTCTCTCCCTCTCACTCACACATACATACACTCACTCTCTCCCAAACACACAGTCTTTCCCTCTCTCTCTCGTTTCCTTCCCACCCAACACACCCTGCCCGACACACCCATAAAGACACACACACACATGCGCACACTTTGTCTCTCCCTCACACACACTATCTTTCCCCTTGTCTGTCTCACACAGACACACACATACACACTCTCATACATTGATCCTCTCTCTCTCACACACACTCTCTACCCCACCCCACACGCGCACGCGCGCACACACACACACACACTCCCCCCGCCCACACACACACTCTTTTTCTCTCTCTCTCTCCACCCCCTACACACACGGACGCACATTCACGTGCACACGCTCACACACCCACTCGTAGATCTTGTCTTACACACACACTTTCACTCACTCTGTCTACCTCACACACACACTCTCTCTCTCCCCCATCTCTCTCTCTCTCACACACATTCATACCTGGACGCATGTTCAGAAGACTGAATTAAAAGGGGTATCAGTGTCTCATTCTTTCCAAGATTGATCTGTTGACGGGGTATTGGCAAGTATCATTGAAATCAAGGACTAAAGAAATGTCCCCTTTTATTACACAAATTAGTTTATGCCAATGTCAAGTGATGCCATTTGGTTTAGAAAATGCCCAGCCACATTCCAGAGACTTATGAATCAAGTTCTGGCTGAGGTTTGTAACTATGTCTTTATTTAGATGATGTTGCTTATAGTAACACGAGAAGACCGTATGGAAGACGTGTTTTAGTGATTACCTTTGGCTGGCTTAGCAATAAATGTAGCCAAAACGTGAATTCTGAAAAGCAAGAGGAACACACCTAGGACACATTGCAGATGAAGACAAGTGTTGCCAAGGACAGCAAGAAGTGAAAACTCCATTAGAATTCCCTGTTCCTAAAACTAAATGAAAAATCATGAGGTTTTTAGAAATGTTTGGGTTTTACCAGAAATTTGTGGTAAATTTGACACGATGGCTGAATCTTTAACTAATTTGTTAAAGAAACAAGAAAAGTGGTATGAGGGTCAGCAGAATGCCAGGCAGACTTTGAGAAGCTGAACGAAATCCTAATAAATGAACCTGTGTTAGCTGCCTGTGATTTTTCCTGACCTTTCAAACTAATGTTTGATGTTAGAGACTCAGGGTAAGTGCTGTGTTGTTATAGACTGATGAGTTAACAATGGAAAAGACAGTGAAGTACTTCTGAAAGAAAATACTGCAGAAAAAGATGTTGAGAGACTGTTGGCTATTCAATATTTTGAAGTCAACGTCTGATGATAACAAGTAAACACTAATTTACATTGATCATAATCCATTGGCCTTTTTATTTCTCCCATCAGTTGCTGTAAGCCATGGCTTTTAACCAATCTCAGAGACTGTGAGAAAACCAGTTTCCTTGTGCCTCCTTCAAGCAAGTGAAAGTACATGAGAATGAGGATCAAGGAGCAGAAAGCTCTGCCAAACTAAAAGGGTATACCAGCAACCTCTATGGACAGTGGCCATTGAATTGCCTTCCCAGTTTTTCCCTCTGCTCATAACACCAATGTTTGTTTCTGCCTGTCTGCATGAGTGAGAAAGGGAGTTATATAGGGGTGTTAGAAGTTAACTAGTAGAATCATACGTTGATGGCTCATAATTGTTTATCTATAGCTAGAATCTATTTACTTGTAATAAGTAGTAATTATTGTTAAGTACAGAAACCTGCCAATGTTTTCTGTTAACCTAGGTCTAAAAGACAGATAAAGTTAGAGAATTTTGAGTAATTTTAGAAAATCTTTAACTTTTGTGATGACTCCAGGAATAGGAGGGGCTTGATTTCCAGTTCACTACCCCAGTGAGGCATAACAGAATCTTTGTGGATGCAGAATGAATGAATACTATGACAGCAAAGTTTTCTGTACTTCCGAAAATGTATTTTCACTAAGCCAAGATCAGGAGGAGCAGTCAAGCTTAATGTGAATCACTTATTACTCACCTTGGACAAATTGGTGACTACTCTGTGTGAAGCGCTGGTTATACAATTGTGCAGACCGAAGGAACATTACTTCCACGGTAGAGCCTTTTAGCAATGCAATCTGGTCTTCATGGTCTAATGTCTGGAATCCTTAAACAATACACATACTACTGAATTTCCAGAATGTAATATTCAACCGCTTATTTACTCTTTTTGGAATAAATCAGAAGTATATAATCATCAACAAGGTAACAAGAATATCATGTTGAAAATGGTTTATATTATCCAATGTTTAATATTATTCAAACACATTTTTTTCTGTCAGAATCATTCTCGTTTTTAAAACTAAATCAAATGCTTTCTTCTCAGCACATGCATTTGCTCAGCAAGGCAAAGAATGCAAGGCAAAATTAAAATAGTAGGACCAGATTGTCTTATCCTATGAACCTGGGAAATGTTTAGTTTTGTATTTTTCTCCATTGAGTAAACAGAAAATTGATTAAAAGTCCTGAACACTTTACACTACATAGGGATTTTCTGGGGAGCTCAGGCACAAACAATATGTAAATGAAGAAATTGGCCTCAGTGGGACACCCTGCCTAATCTTTCCCTACTTTTATGAGATGAGTGATACAATTCAGGGGGCACCCAGAAGAATTAGCCAATAGTTCTTTGTGTGTCCCTTCTCAGAGCTGAGAACTAACAACAAGACCAAGGAGGCCAAGAAAGCTATGATGTCCTTTTTATAAGACCTCAATGGTATTCACTGAGAAAATCTAAAACATTCTCTGATATAAAGATTATTTTGAATTGCAATCTTATAATAAAGGCATTTGCCTTTCTGCTTGTCAGTATTTACTTCTGTGTTACACACTCTGAAATACAAAAGTTTTCTCCCATCTGAACAAAGCAGCATTTTAAAATTTATTGTATACATCAACTAAGTGATTCTATTATAACAGAAGGAAGCACACTCTGAGAGTAGCAGTAAAAGATGTATATTTGACTGGACATCTCATAAGAAAGGTAGATGCATATCAGCTTGTTTCAGAATTTTATAATGTAGCTCCTAGTCAGAGACTTTTTAAGATGATGTAGATAGATATTAAACAGATTTGTTTATTTACTCTGCTTCCTGTTTTGCAACAAAAGCACAGAACTCTGAGATTTAATACTGTTGCATGAATTGTTGAAATTTGTACTATGGGAACATGTGGCATGGCCTACAAATAATTGGTGTAGCACAGAAAATTTGAGAACTTCTCACCTGGCAATCGTTTGGTAAACTCCACTAATACTTCAACATGCATTGTGGCATTCTCTGTCAGTCGGAGAAGATTCTCCACAGGATTTGAAAGTTCCAGCAACTGAATCATAAAGATATAGTGATATCAGAAACCGAACGGAATGTCTTATTTAAAAATGGTATGAATTAATCATCTTAATCCCAATAGAGAAACATAATGAGAATTAAATATTTTCCCACAATAATTCACAGGAGCTGACGTGGTAGCTACCTGTGATGCTAGACCTTCAAATTACAGAACACAGAAAGTGACTGCTATTCTATGCTAAGAGGAACCTGTCAGAAATGTGGAGCTCCTTCACTTCGTAAAAAAGAAGGAATAGTGTGGCAATCTGTGTAATATTACCATTCCACTGAAAATCTGGCCCAACGATTGTAAAATGTGTCAGTACTTAAGTCTAAGAATCCATATATCAATTTAATGGTTTAATAACTCTTGCAGATCTTGTTGTGGTGTAACCTTCTGGAGATGTGGATTGCGTCCTTGACTTTTCTTTATTCACAGGCATGTTATTATTCGTTCATTGTTGTCCTGGTATCCAATCACACCTGTATCATCTGGGCATTTTTTTTTGCATTCACTATACGCAGTTGGGATGTTGTTTCCCCTGGCTGGCTTCTGTTTCTCCTCAACATTGGTCTGTTGGATGTTATGGTATTGCAAAACCTGGGTTCCCTGTACACTTTGGATATCTCTGCTGGTAGCCATAATCCCATTGTGAGGAGTATAATTCTAATATTTTGTTCTACATGTAGTTGAAATGGTACACAACTAGCATGCAAGTATGAAACTATCTTCATCCTCCCCTGGCATCATTGAAGTGCATTCTGTACATCAGAATTTGGAAAAGTGGTAAAATCATTTTCACGTGCCTTCTGAATATGATCTCTGCTGACAATGGCAATCTATATCCAGAGTGAAGCTCTGAGGTGTGACACAAAAGTATTGTTTCATTGTCCTTCAGGATAAATCATTCAATGATGCGAACCATTTGCTTAGTGAGACCATTTGATCTGGGCTAATGTGGTGAGGAGATCACATACTTCACAGCCCATTTGACATATATGTCCCTGAAATGTTTGCTCATTTACTGCAGTCTGTCAAAAATAATTTCTTCAAGCCCACTTAACAGATTGAAAATGTCATACAATCTGTGTGCCACAAATTTGTTTGGAGTGTTCTTTACTTGTCTGATTCAAAATTCGGAGAGATAAATTGATGATTAAGATGAAATTGTCTCCATTCATGTTAAATAGATCAGTGACAATTATGGACCAAGAGACTGACAGAATCTCATGAGGCTGTAGAGGTTCTTTGCATCACTGTGGCTGGTGGTTCTGGCATGCTTTGCACACTCTTGCTAATGTATCAGTGTCATCGTTGATTCCTGGCCAATAGACTGTCTCACATGCCCATTGTTTTGTCCATCTATGGCCTTATATCCTTGGTGTAGTTGTGGCAAAGAATTTCAGGCATAAATATTGTTTGCTTTTTAAGGTATCACTTCTGGAGATACTGAATTCACCGCTTTAAGGCCAAAATTATCTAAAAGTGTCTGATACGACTGATCATGTCCGGCTACACTTCAACAAAAGTGTCCCATTATGCTTTCAGTTGTGGGTCATTAGCTGTACCTGATTGATTTTAGTTGCATTTATGCCGGCCAAAGTGCAATATGTCAATTTTGAGCAGATCTACTATCTCAATGTCCGTGCTGTCTATTTGTAGATCTAGCGGAAGGTTTGTATCTTGCTTAAGGATCAAACTGATCCATTGATTCCTGTGACTGTTGTTTCTTGGATATCAATTCTCAGCACTGAATTGTAAAATTGCTTCTTTTAGGTAGCTGATCTTCTAACATTTTCTGTATATTTATGGGATCTTTCTGTCTTTTTCAGATAAGCTTGAGGTATTGATTTCATGTAGCTGCTCATTACAACAGCTCAGAATTTTCACAGCATAGTTAATGGATTCTTCAAAAGTTTGATCCATGAAATATGGTTGCATTCTTTGTTGAAAATATTTGAACCTGGATAGGAGATCTGTAAACTTCCAATTAATGTTGTGAGTTTGAAATGCAACCTTCCGCTGTTCTTTTGACTTTTTCAGACACTGTTTATGTACAGGAACATTGATTCTATAATCCTGTTCTTATGGGACACTCCTTATGTACCTCCAGCAGTGTTTCTGATGGATTTTCAGCTCTATATTTCGTTTTGTGCACTCTTTGTGTACTAACAGCACTTTAAGTAGTTTTTCTGTTTTTGACTTAAAGCATATTTTAGAGATTGTTCAGTTGATTTGGTACTGCGCCCAGTTGCAGCCCACTCTTTCCTTTGCTTGAATTCAGGCACAAACTGGGCTGACTCTTTAAATTTTGCACAGTCTTAAATAGCACAGTTTTGAATCAGTTGACTGCCTGACTGTTTTGTCCAGCTCAACATACCCAATTTGTGAAGAAATCCTTGTTATCTTGTGTTTTTTGTACTTTTTTTCTTCTGTTTTCTGATCTGTATGAAGTCCTGGTTGCTTGCTTTATGTTGTTTGCCATTTTTGTTGTTGGTGTTCAAGTCTGTATTACCATCTTCTTTGTTCTGATTTGAAAGAGACAATCCCAGGTGAACACTATACAGTAGTTGCTTGTGTTTTGTTTATGTAACACCAAATGGGATATGTGGATTCACTTGCATGGAGATCTCTAATAGGTTTATTTACGGCTAATTTAGTACATACGGTACAGAGCAATCTCTAGACTGGTCCTTGCCTCTGGTGCTATAATGCAAAATGACCATGACTTCTGCTCATTGATGACGTTCAGATATTTGGTTTATCTACAATGTTGAACTTCTTAAAAGGTCATCACTTTTAAAGCAATAACATTACATCGGGTATTGATCAAAAGGTAAATACTCAGACATTGATTTATTTCTTTTGAATGATGAAAAGTCCTGTTATGAGCCTTTGTGCTAGGAATAGATCATTTTGTAATTAAACTAGCACAAACTAGATGGACAAAACCTTCTTTCTTTTTTAAGTAGATTATTTGGTATCTTACGAGACTAGCATTTCTCTGGAACCAAATAATGAACTTCTTCAGTTTCTTCTTCATCACTGTCTTTCTGGTCTCCCATCTCTTGTTATTCCATCGTTGTTTGGACAGGTTGTAGTTCTTGGCTATCAGGAAGGTGAAAGGTGCAAGGGTAGAGTTGTATTGAAGGAATGCCAGGGAAAGGAAGAAGTATATACTTTCACTAATAAAACAGCAAAGTACTTGCAGGTGCCAGAAATCTGCTAAAAAATCATTGACCTGAAATTCTAACTCTACTTCTCTCTTCACAGATGCAGCCAAATCTGCAGATGATTTCCAGCATTTTCTGCTTTGAGTGCATGCTTGCACCAACTGCAGTTAAAAAATCAAAAGAAATGATGGAAGGAGAGAGTAGTACAATGTGAGGGGAAGGATTGAATACAGGGATAAAATTATCTTCAATTGTCTCAGTCCCATCACTAGTAACAACAACTCGAATGATGATGATGATAGCCATGAATGTGGCATGCAGCTATGCCTACCCCCACCGGTTAGCTTCCATTACCTCCAATTATATGCCAATGTGTCCAGCCAGAGAAAGAGAGAGAGAGAGAGATGTGTTTCAGTGAGTGTGATGCAAAGCATTTGGTAGATTCGACTGTTATGGCTGAATATGCACAGTGTGTGCACGTTGTGAGATTTTGGTGTGGAGCTTCCAGCTGTGCAAAGTGGGGAAGATCTAACCTCTGGGGACTTGGGCCAAAATTAGGAAAGCTATCTCACAGACTAGTTAAGGAATAGTCTGACGCAATTGCACTCATGGAAGTGTAACTTACACACAATGATCCAAGATACCACTATCACCATCCTCACTTATGTCTTGAACAGTGATATTCAGTGAGGAGGGAGTTCTCCTGGGAATCGTCAGCTTTGAAATACAGATCCCATGAAATCTCATGGCATCAAGTCAAAAAGCAAAGAAGCCTCTAAAAACTGCAGTGGTTCAAGAAAGCAGCTCGCCACCACATTCTCCTGGGCATTGCAGGTGGGCAATTACCATCCCATGAAGGAATTTTAAAAAAAAGGTCAGATAGTGATACTGTCACTGGATAAGTAATCCAGTTGCCCAGGGGGCACATGTTGTTAGATCCCAGCTGATGGAACTTGGGGTAATTAATGAATCTGGAATTGAAGGTGACCATGACCGTAATTGATTGTTATAAAATTCGTCTGGTTCGCTAATGTCCTTTAGGGAAAGAAGTCTGTCATCTTTACCCACTTTGGTTTGCATGTCACCCCAGACTCAAAGCAATGTGTGTGGAGCTGGAGGAACACAGCAGGCCAGGCAGCATCAGAGGAGCAGGAAAGTTTACGTTTCGGGTCGGGACCCTTCTTCAGGTCCACACTGTTTTATCTCTGATGCCAGCATCTGCAGTTCTTACTATCTCAAAGCAATGTGTTTTCATTTACTTTTTCTCTGAACTTGCCCACAAGGCAATCTGTTTTAAGAGCAATAGGTTGGACACAAATACTGGCCTTGCTAACAGTACCCACATTCCATGGATAATTTTTTTTTTTAAATGTGAAGTTATAGAGATTATTAGTTAGTACGATAAAGTTATGGTGAATTGAGCAGTGTGAGAGACAATAGTGTGGTTGGTAAGATTTATCATTTAAACATAAATTCAGTGACACTGATCACTCATGTGAAGTTATGAAACCTTTCACAACATTGCATTCAGGTCCTCAGGGATAAAGCTCGGGCGTTGGCTGCCAGATCTATCTGGTGCCACAAGAGTCCTTAGAGCAGAAGCTGGAAAGAACGAGAGATGTGGTTTATCTACATGAGTTAAGTGGTCCTCCAAACAAGGTTTGCAGACATCGGATTGTCTAAGCAAAGTTTCTTTGGAGGATCTTCCAGTCCTTTGTGGAATAGTTGGCACCATTCCCCTCTCCAACCCAACTTAAGTCTGCAGTGCAACATTGGATCATTTTGGAGTTTGCTCTCTGCTAATTTGTGCCATTCAAGTAATCCCTAAGTCAAAATCAATTTTAAAATGATTCCAGAACCTGCTCCTGCCACACTACACCTGTCTTTTAAGTAATGCAAGCTCTTTTAACTCATGTTAATGTTATAACTGCCCACCAAGCATGGCCTCAGAGTGGTCCATGAACAAAAACTCTGCATAAGTTCACACATAACCCTCTTTTCATTTTGAGTATTTACATTTAAAAATAGCCAGAAGCATAATTTATGTTTTAAACAAGATCAAAGAATAATGCCAAATGGCATTGTGGGCCTGCCTACAGCACGTGGTCAGAAATCACACGACACCAGGTTATAGTCCAACAGGTTTATTTGAAAACACAAGCTTTTGGAGCTTCAGTCCTTCACCACTAACACCTGAAGAAGGACTGAGGCTCCAAAAGCTTGTGCTTTCAAATAAATCTTTTGGACTATAACCTGGTGTCGTGTGATTTCTAACTTTGTCCACCCCATCCAACACCGGCACCTCCATATTACAGCACATGGACTGCAATGGTTCAAGAAGTCAGCTCACCATCACCTTCTCAAGAGCAACTAGGAAGAGGTAATAAGTGCTGGCCCAGCCAGCAATACCCATGTCACACGAGTGAAGAAAAAAAATGTATTTAATTAAGAAGTGATAACATTAATATCTAAGATGCAGATACAAAGGTTTAAAATAAGCAAGGGCAGATCTGACATATGAAGATGATCAGTTTTTACTATCATTGCAGATCTGACTTGCTAAAAGATTCTCTTTCCAATGTAAAGTGGCCGAAAAATTTGAAGTCAGTTTCAGTACCAATGATGGTTTCTTTAGTTGAATTTTTGGAGGCTGCTCCCATAGTGCAGAACAGATCCAGGGAGTGAGGAAGGCTCCTTTGGCGTGACTGCAGCTCTTGTCTTATGGTAACCTACTTCAGTACAGCAGTCCTGGATACCTCCCTTTGATGTTGAGATGATTCTCCTCAAATCTTGACAAAAGTATTGCTCACATCCAGATCTATTTGCAGTTCAAAACTGTAAAAATGGCTGCTATCCCAAACTGTGGAATCATGCATGATCATATTAAGTATTGGGCTAGCTCAGGTCTGCAGAAGTGACACATCCATTGGCTTTTAATTGAAGCAAGTAATTAACTTATTAATTATCTCAGTCGTTAGTTTTCATAGACTTCTTTCTGTCTAGGATTCTGGTGAAATATGAAAAGCTATTCGCACCTCCATGGATACCATTGTCAATGAGTTTCTGTTCACCCTTGGAAAGATTAATTGAATTTCAAAAGCTCCTTTCAGAGTCTTCTGGCTGAAAACACAAGAGTAGTCGTGTGACTTCTGGGAACCATTTTGAAGGCAGATTAGCTTTCTATCTAATGTATTGTAACTAGTTATTTGTGGCAGTAGTCTTTCACAATTTTGCATACCCTGTTCAGGTGCACAGCCATTCAACAATGGTTATACTGGCTGCACAACACAGTCAGTGAATATAGTTGACTGCATTAAGTTTGTGGTGTAATCCCACATACTGATTCCTGTGCTTATATTCAGGCAATCTCCAGATAGGAACAAAATAAACTTAATTATACAAGTTCATTGCATATATAAGCATGCACGTAAAGATGATCGAAATGTCAAAATTTTATGGCACATTTATATAGTCCTAACACAACCAAAGCATGTGATGCTGTACTACTTTTGGACTAAAGGTAAAAGAACAGATAAATCTAAACTAGATTACTTTTTGTTCTGTTGAGACAAAATTAAAATCCAGCTTTAATATTTAAATTGGAACATATATTTGCTGTTTGTGTATTTTCAATACATACAAACTTTCTTGCTGCTTCTTGGGGTATTCGATACTTGTGATGAGCTTCCACAATATAATCAAGAAGTTGTTGTTGTTCAGGTGTGAACTCAACTCTCTCCTGTATCTGTAGAAAAGAATGGAAAATATTTAAATGGAAGTGAATGTGCTGCTGCCAAGTTTATGAATGATAGGTGGGAAGGCAAATAGGATGACATAAAAAGTCTACAGTGGGATACAAATAAGTTAAATGAGTGGACAAAAACTTGTCAGATAGAATGTAGTATTGGGGATTGGGAGGTTTTGCATATTGATAAGATGAATAGAGGAGCTGAATATTATGCAAATGGGAAAATACGGCAGAAAACTGCAGCGCAGAGGTATTTGAGAGTCCTTGTGCATGAATCACAAAAACCTAGCATCCAAAATCAGTAGAGAATAAGGAAGGCAAATGGAATGTTTGCCTTTATTTAAAGGGAGGTATAAAAACAGCAAAGTCTTGCTAAAACTGGTTAAGGCACTAATCAGACCACACCTGCAATATTATGAACAGATTTTGGCCCTGTATCTAAGGTAAGATTTACTGGCATCGGAAAAAGTTCATTATGAAGGGATTTTCTTACAAGGCAAGGTTGAGTAGCTTGGGACAATTATCATTAGAACTGTGAAAAATGAGAAGCCATGTTATTGAAACGTATAAGACTCTTAGGGGCTTAAATTAGATACAGAAAGGTTGTTTCAGCTTGTTTCAGCTTGTGGGAGAATCTAGGATCAGACAGCATTGCCTCAGAGTAGGGGATTACCCATTTAAGACAGAGGTGAGGAGGAAATGTTTTTCTCCAGTGAATCTGTGGAATTTTTTACCACAGAAACTGTCAAGACTGGTTTGTTAAGTATAGACTGAGATGTACAAATTTCTAAACGTTAAAGGAATGAAAGGTTAATGGAATAAGACAGGAAAGTGGAATTGAAGGTTATCAGGTCAGTCATGATCTTATTGAATGGTGGAGCAGACTCAATAGGCTGAATAGCCTATTTTTGCTCCTGGGTCTTATCCTCATATCATTCCACTTAATCCAATTTTGTCAGTCCTTAACTAACTAGGTACGTTGTGGAGAGTCATGGAATTAGACTTGCTGTGTATTTTAATGTGGTTTGCTGGTGTATGGTATATGGTATGGTGTAATGCATGATGGTTTAGTTGATTAATTCAGAGAGTTAGAATTCTGATTAGCTGGCAAGATCTAAACACTATCACAGTGATGAACAACAACCTATTTTGTGCACACCGACATAATTCTTCACCAATGCACAATGTACCAATTTATATTTCCACTAGAATGACCTCTGGGAGAACAACTGATATTCTGAAATGAAAAGTCATCCAAGAAATTTGCACAGGGTCACACAGACCTGCTGTCTGCTCCATAGCCAAGCAATTAATATAGGCAACCATCTGTTTGAGTAAGAGATGGACCTGGCAGAAAAGGGTGTAATTTTCTGAGATACAAATGCAACGCCATAAATGCAATATGCCTCCTGATTTGCCATTGTGATACAACCTTAACCATGTGGCACTGACGAGGAAGTCCATCAACAACAAGTTCGATAATAGACACAATACAAACAATATGGTACTGGATTGAATTCATAATATGGTGTCAGATTGGAGCTCAGAGTAAGGGTCAAAAAGCTCTACAGAAAAACAGCTACTGACAGACATTGAAATAACAAGGTATAGAGCTGGATGAACACAGCAGGCCAAGCAGCAACAGAGGAGCAGGAAAGCTGACGTTTGGGCCTAGACCCTTCTTCAGAAATTGACAGACATTGGCAGGAATTGCAGTTAGGAAATTAGCAGCTACGAAGGCAAATGCAATGTTAGCATTCATTTTGAGACTACAAGAGCTGGGATGAATTGCTGAGGCTGTATAAGGCTCTGGTCAGGCCACATTCGGAATATTGTGAGCAGTTTAGGGCCCCGAATCTAAGGAAGAATGTGTTGGAGTTGGAGTGAGTCCAGAGGAGGTTCACAAGAATGATCCCAGGGATGAAGGGCTTGTCATATGAGGAGTGGTTTTGGACTTTAGATCAGTACTTGGAGTTCAGAAGGATGAAAGGGAATCTCATTGAAACTTACAGCCAGAGCAGTGTTTGTAATGAGTACCAAGCTAACAAAGCTAGAGGGTCGCTGATAATTCATGGTACCCCTGACAGACCATGGATAAAATGGAGAATTGACCTTTTTACTTTTGCAGGAATTGCAGATTACCATTTTGACCACTGGGAGATGGACCAGCTGACTTCATTCTTTAGCTGCTACAGAATTCACAACATAGTGATGAGTGATAATTACCCTTAGCTCAGAAGCTTCTTCATAAAGGATTGGGAAATTCGACACCATGCATCATTTCCACAACAACCCAGTCAGATAGAAAGACTGAGGCAGCACTGGAAGTCATCAAAACAATCTTACAGAAATTGAGCAAATCCTGCACAGATGCAAACAAGGCAATCCTTAAATTGAGAAACACACCAACTGAAGGCACAGGAAGAAGTTCAGTACAAAGATTAATGTCGTAGTACTCCTGAATTTCTTTTCACATAACAAAAATGCTATCAAATCCAAACAGGTTTGTATGAGAAAATCAAGGAGAAAGACGTTTTAATTTGACAAGGCAGCCGAACCATTTTCAGAGTTGAGCATTGAAGAGCCAACTAAGGTACGAACTTTCAACACTCTCTAAAAGAGTCAGCCTACGAGACAACTCTTGATGAATAATTATCAGCTTGCTCACATACAGTGGAAGTGAACAACCAGATATGCCATAACAATGATAGGCGTACATGTAAAACTGAAGAAGCTGTTCCTTAACTGCAGGCAGCTGACCAAGGAGAGATGAACTCAACAGCTGTGCAGACCACAGATTAGCGTCAGATCCAGCAATCCACAGCAGTCCAATAATGGAAATTGAATAAATACAGGTGCTCCAGTAACAGTGAATGATATGTGAACAATACTCTCTGGGTATGGAACATCACCCAGAAGAACAGTCAATGACAATGAACATATGTCCAGTTAAAAAGCCAGCATAATTTAAAGACCATGTGTACAATCTTCCTAGACCCTGAACAATGTGGGTAATGGCAAGTCAATGGGGAGAATATGGCAAGATTGGGAAAGTGAGAAGCTCAAAATTGAGAAGGAAGGTCCAATTTTCCAGGCAAGATGACAAGATGAAAATCTGGCAAGTGTGTAGTGAGGAATTGACTTGCATATACTAACATCTCGTTATTTCCTTATCTTGCTTCACCTATATGCAGTTTGCTATTTTTCCAGGCAGTGAGGAGAAATTAGACGGTGACAATTCCTGATGTGGAAGTCTGAGCAGTTGCCCGGCAGTCTGCTACAACTCACCAGTTTCTTATCCAGCTTTCCATTTTATCCAGCAATCTCCAATACCTCAGGGCATACTACATGGCAGTGACCACCTCCACCCTCTTTCCATATAGGTTTGCATTGGCAAAGCACAAACCTCACCATGTCATCACAGCATGTTTTGGACTCCCTTTTAACACAATTCAGCACTTAATACTACATTGGAACTGAATGAATCTCACAGTTCTTAGCTTTATTCTTAGTGATCACTGACTTAGATGCTCACAGCATCCCTGCCTTGCCTTGCCATTTAGCACAGTCACATAGCAAGGCAGCTTGCCATGTTTGGCAGCAATGAACTGTGAAGGGGTCTATGGTTAATCAACAGGCTGGTCCTTCATCAATCAGGAAAGTTAAGGTGTCCCAAGTGATTGAATAGGAAATGCAGACAGCAGGGAAGGTTAGCAGTTTGGGAGATGAGGTGGATGAGAGCCATTGACAGAAGTTGCTGCATGCTCACTATTGGGAGTAATAGACCATGAACATTGGTCAGATATGGATGAAATGGCAGAGTGTGAGGTAGGAAAGAGAAGATGGTGGTTTGTGGGTTTTTGCTCTTGGAGTATTCTTCTAGGTCACTCTGACCCAAGTGCTCCTTCAGACCAGTTTTGATATTATGTGCTGCTGGGATTTAAATATGGTGCCCGCTACATGAAGACCAGAGGCCCTGGTACCAGCAAGCATTTCATCTCTGCTGAGTGCAAGATAGTATGGGTGCAGTGCCGTGGGATATGGTGCATTATAAATGAGGCAAGCAGCAGATAATTATGCAAGATAACTTGCTAGATCTCACAGAGAGAAGCTACCAATGAACTTCCCAGAAAAATGGGAAAGATATGCAATACTGTACCAATGTGCCTCTTGGCTTGCCGTAGATATGTGGCCTGTTTTATGAGGGACTGGGAAGATTCATCTTGTAGCCAGTTCAATAAAGGATACAGCACGGACAGCATTGGATGAACAAGCCAGAACTTCAGAAAATCCATAGGGCAGTCAGACTGCTACTACATTGGCCAAAGCTATTAGCAACATCTCTTCTTGGAAATAACAACAGCAACACGTGAGCAGTAACACCACACATTTACAGTGCTAGTTGCCATAGAAAAATGATCCTAAGCACTTCACTGAAATGAAATGAAATCTAAATATGAAGGCTGAGTCAAACAATTAAATTACAACCATAAAATTTTAAATGACATTACAGTTAACATTTCAGTTCTGTACAATAGAGTTGTGCATTCGATAAATGTATAAAAATTTGAGTAACAAGGAAATAATACGCAATTCCTCTGACTCCTCTCTCTCTCTACAAAAGAAAATGCCATGAAATCATTATCCTTTCAAAATAAGAAATGTTGTTAAAAATAATCTTCTCACAGAGATTTTTCTCACACTAAAGCCAATTTGTTTTACCTTCCCAGCCTTGGTTGTGGATGAAACCTGTTTACTGTCAACCCCTTCTTCTTCCATCTTTATGTTACACAATAGGTCCATGACTTGCTTTGTGTTTTTCCGCAATCGTTTAGATTTACACTGGATTTCTGTCAGCAAACCTGCAAAAATATAATAGATATGTTAAAAGACTTACAATAACAAGTTCAAATTTCATCATGAGGAATAACTAATGTTTTCTTTGCATTTTATTATGGTGAGCCAGCTCTTCTCCATTATCCAGCACTGGGAATGAGTAAACACTTGACACCCAGAAATCTGGCTTCTTCTCTCTCTTACTCAGCAGTGTGTATCTAGGTTGCTGAAAAGGTAATAATACCACGGTCTCTCCTTAGCCACTGAACAGAGAGTAATGCAGAGACTTATGTGGAAATTGTGGTACTCCCTTGCATTCTATCCAGCAAGTATCACAAAAATGATTGCCTCTATTTCCTTCCCAATAATTCTTTCTCCTCTTTTTAGGTCTTTATCCTCCAGTTCTTTCCTTCTTCCTCCCTTTAGTTTTTCCTCAATATTTCCTTCCTCCTCTTTTACTGCTTTTTTTTGTGTTGTATCTTTACCTTCTCGCTGTTTGCACTATCCTTTTCCCTCCTGAATTGGTTATGCTTTTTCCTTCCTGTCTTTACCCATTTCCCAACAATTCTATTTCTCCTCTCACCCTCCAATCTAGATCGCTTGTCTGACTTTCTTTCAGACCTTTCCACTTCTTCCATACCCTAGTTTGAGGCTTATTGGCTTTTACACTCTTCCTTTCAACTTAAAGTTTAACTCCTCCCCAATGACGTCTTTTTGAATATTAAGGTTAAAATCAGTAGAATTTGCTCAAACATACTATGATACTGAGATGAAAACAGGCAATCTTTCTCCTGAAAAGAACATGGGATTGGAAACCCAGCACGTGGACAAATGGGATCCTAAGTTCGGGATAATTCTGCATGAACCTGAGACATTGAGCATGTTGTGGAGGGAGACAGTGGCATAAAAATAGAATTTGTAGTGAAGCCAAATACTAAGGCATTTCTCTTGCCATTATTTTCAACCTTGCCTTTACCTTTATTCGCTGAAGTAAATTGTGGCTCGTCCAAGACAAACTGTGTAAACACAAAAATAAAGCAAGAAAGCAAGGAATAAACTTAAAAAATGACTAAAATTAATTTCTCATGCTCTTCTTCAAAATAGTGCTGTGGGGTATTTTCCACCTAACCATGCAGGAATACAAGGCCTTGTTTAAGGATGAATCTTTAGGGGTCTCCCAAAATACTGGTGCAGAAGTTCAGAGATATTCATCATTAGACATGATTTGAAATCACAGAAGGCCATCCATCATGCTAAATAATAGACGAACTGTGTTGAAGGAGAAGAGTGTGGACAATCAGATCAATACTGCAGGGAAGTTAAGGATGAACTTTGTGAGCAGGAGTGCACTGATACAGTCGTAAAGTCATACAGCATGGAAATAGATCCTTTCATCCAACTTGTCCATGTCGACGATGTTTCCCAAACTAAGCTAGTCCCACTTGCTTGCATTTGGCGCATGTCCCTCTAAATCTTTCCTATTCTTGTAACTATCCAAATGTATTTTAAATGTTATAACTATACCTGCATATACATTTTTTCTATAGTGCATTCTGTATATGAATCACCCTCTATGTGAAAAAGTTACCCCTCAGGTCCCTTTTAAACATTTCCTCTCTCACCTTAAATATATGTCCCTAGTTTTGAACTGCCCGACTCTAGGAAAAAGACCTTTGCTATTCACCTTGTCTATGCCCCTCATGATTTTATAAACCCCTCAACCTCCTACACTCCAGTGAAAAACGTCCCAGGCTATCCAGCCTTTGCTTATAACTCAAATCCCCCATTCCTAGTGACATCCTGGTAAATGTGTTCTGAACCCTCTCCAATTTATAAGTACCGACACAGTACCTAAGACCAAGTATCATTTAGAGAATCAGTTAACGTGGATCCAAAATGGAAGCTGGGTGGATATTAGTTTACAGAGAATAGGATAAAAGGAGTCAAGAGGAGTTTGACCAATTGTGGGCTTGATAGAAATGGGCAAGAAATAAGTGGTGTGGGAGTACAGAGCTGGCTGTAGGATGTTCCAGGAATAAAGCTGTAGATGCTCTGGGAATACAGAACTATTCACAGGATATTCTGAGAGTACAGAGGTGGTTTTGGGACGGTCTGGGAGTAACAGAACTGGTTATCGGATGTTGTGGGAGTTCAGATATGGTTATAGGATGCTCTGGGAGTCCAAAGATGGTTATAGGATGCTCTATGAGTACAGAGCTGGTTATAGGATGCTGTGGGGGCACAGAGCTGGTTATAGGATGCCGTGGGATTACTGAGCTGGTTATAGGATGCTGTGGGAGGACAGAGTTGGTTATAGGATGCTGTGGGAGGACAGAGATATTTATAGGATGGTGTGGGAATACAGTGATGTTATAGGATGCTCTGGGAGTATAGAGATGGTTATACCATTCCCTGTTTTGGTGAAAGAGAAGGGAAGTAGCAGCTGAATTTATATGGTATGACATTTTAACTCATTCATTCATGGATTTAGAATCAGATCTAAAGGGCAGAATCAAGTAGGGTCCTGAATGATGTGGACTGTGTCAGGAAATGTGGCAGAATCATGTGAGAAGTCCTGTGAGGCCTAAGGTGATATCAGGAACAACTGGCTGCATCTTTTACAAACCAAAACAGAAATTACGGAAAAAAACTCAGCAGTTCTGGCAGCAGCTGTGGAGAGAAATCAGGTTAATGATTCAGGTCCAGTGGCCCTTCTTCACACCCTCCTTCCTACATCTGCAGTTCTTTTGAGTTTTTTTGCTGCATCTTTTAACTAGGTTCTGGGCATTGAGGTGCAATGCTCACTAGGCAATGAAACGTTGCCTGCAAAGGAGGGATTATCACCTGTTAATGACTTTATTGACTGCACATCTCACCTCATTAATATGGAGCTTCCTTTCCTACTACTGAGAAAACTGGATACTGAACATCTTGACATGGACATCAGAGGGTGTATCTGGCGAATTCAGTTGGAATTCCTCCTCAGAACAGGAGGAAGGGTCACTGGACCCAAAATATTAGCTCTGATTTTTTTCTTCACATATGCTGCCAGACGTGCTGAGCATTCCCAGCAACTTCTGTTTTTGTTCCTAATTATTCATTCCTGTCTGGAATAAATAAAATATAAAAGGTGGCTCAATCATGGTTTACAATGGAAATTAGGGATAGTATTAGATCCAAGAGGCAAACAATGGCTAGTCGGCTACCTCAGGGATCAATGCTTTGGCCCCAATTGTTCATGATATAAGTAAATGACCATAATGAAGGAACCAAGTGCAACATTTTCAAGTTTGTTGATGACAGTAAACTACATGGGATTATGAGGAGAATGCAAGTAGGCTTCAAGGTGATTTAGACATGATGAGTGTGTGGACAAGCACCTAGTGGATGCACTATAATGTGGCTAAATATGAAGTTATATATCTTAGCAAAAAAAAACAAAAAGCAAGAGTATTACTTAAATGGTGATATCTTGGGAAGTGTGGGTGTATATAGAAATCCAGGTGTCTTTGTACACTAGTCAATGAAAGTAGACAGGCAGGTGCAGCAAGCAGTTAGGAAGGAAAATGGCATGTTGGTCTTCATGGCGAGAGGATTGAGTTTAGAGTAAGGGTATCTTACAGCAGTTATAGAGGCCCTTGGTGAAGGTATGTTCGACATCGTACAGTTTTCATCTCTCTACCAAAGAAAGGATACACTATCATAGAGGAAGTGCAGTGGACATTCACTAGGCTGATACTGGGGATGGCAGGACTGTCCTATGAGGAGAGATTGGTCTGATTGGGCCTGTAATAAATAGAGTTTAAAAGGATGAGAGAGAATCTGATTGAAATGTACAAAGTTCTAATGGGGCTAGACAGAGCAGGGAGGATGTTTTTCCCGTCTGGGGAGTCTAGAACCAGGGCACACAGTCTCAGGATATGGAGTAGACCATTTAGGACTGAGATGAGGAAACATTTCTTAACTAAAGGTGTAAGGAACCTGTGGAATTCTCAACCTTAGAAGGCTGTGGAGGCCCAGCCATTGTGAATTTGCATTGTGAAATTGGAAAAAAGCACATAGAAACATAGAAAATAGGAGCAAGCATAGGCCACTTTTCCAGCTCCGCCACTCAATATGATCATGACTGATCATCCAGCTTAGTAGCCTGTTCCTGCTTTCTCTTCATACCCTTTGAGTCCTAAGAACTGTAGCTGTTTCTTGAAAGCATTCGATGTTTTGGCCTCATCTGCTTTCTGTGCTACAGAATTCCACAAGCTCACCACTCTCTCAGTGAAGACATTTCTCCTCATCTCGGCTAAATGGCCTATCCCTTATCCTTAGACTATCATCCATGGTTCTGGACTCCCCAGTCATCAGAACTACCCTTTCTGCATTTATCCTGTCTATTATTGTTAGAATGTCTTAGGTTTCTATAAGACCACCGCACCTCCCCTCCCCCAGTTATTCTAAACTCCAGTGAATATGGGTTATATTCCAACAGATTTATTTGAAGATACAAGATTTCGGAGTCCCACTCCTTTTTCATGTGTCAGTGAGAAAGGTAGCATCAGACACAGAACTTATAAGTAAAAGATCAGAGGGTCATAGAACTTATGTGGTGCTGGACAAACCTAAGATGGCTCTTACATCTTTAATCAGTTACAAAGGATTAATATGCAAATTCACAAATTTCTGTCAAGTCACTGCCCTGAAATAACTAAAGACTTATCAGTTGCCTCAGTATACCAGTGTGAGCTGGAGGAGCAGAGCAGGTTAGGCAGCATTAGAGGAGCAGGAAAGAGGACGGGTCGGGATCCTTCGGTCCTGATGAAGGGTCCTGACCCAAAACGTTGACATTCCTGCTCCTCTGATGCTGCCTGACTTGCTGTGTTCCTCCAACTACATTCTGTATGACTCTGATTTCAGCATCTGCAGTTCTTGCTATCCCCTCAGTACAACAGAAGTAACATCCCAGGTCAGACAATGCATTTTAGGTGTGAGGCCAGTTTAGAATCTGGCTGTGTATCAACTGGGAGTCAGACTTGTTTTATTTCCAAGTAGGAATTTATAAAATTTCAAATTGACTGTCTACAAATTTATAGGCTTTCACACACGTGTGTGTGTGTGTGTGTGTGTGTGTGTGCGCGCATGTGAGAGAGAGAGAGTGTGTGTGTGAGAGAGTGTACAGTGTGGTGGGGTCACCTGTAGTATGACATGAACCCAAGATCCCGGTTGGGGCCGTCCTCATGGGGACCGAACTTGGCTATCAGCCTCTGCTCGGCAACTCTGCATTGTTGTGTAACCCGAAGTCCGCCTTGGAGGATGCTTTTTCAAGTAAACCTGTTGGACTATAACCTGGTGTTGTGTGATTTTTGACCTTGTCCACTCCATCCAACACCAGCACCTCCACATCCAATTCAGTTCCTCTTCATATATCAGCCCTGCCATCCCAGGAATCAGTCTGGTAAACCTTTGTTGCACTCCCTCCATAATCAGAACATCCTTCTTCAGATAAAGAGACCAAAACTGCCCACAATACTCCAGCTGTAATCTCACCAAGGCCCTGTATAGTTGTAGCAACAACATTATCCCCTGTGATTAAATCTATTCATTGATATCTCAGACGTCTTTTTCAGATATATTTTTCATGGGAACATAAGAACAGGATTCAGCACCTTGATCCTGCTACATCATTCTCAATCACAGCCAAAGATTTAGCTCAATGCCATATATCCATGCACTCCCAACAACCCTTGATGTCATTAGGAACAGAAAACTGTCCTGAACTTAATTTCTGAGTGAACATCCACAGCTCCCTGAGTAAAGAATCTCTATGCTTCATCTACTGAGTGAAAAGTTTTTCTTCATCTCAGTTCTAAAAAGTTTTCCTCTTGTTTTCAAATAATGTCCATTTGTTCCAGACCCCACACCCATTAAAAAAATTCTACACCTACTATTTCCCTGCTCCAAAGCTAGAACAAATGGATGAATTTTGCAAATGCTTTGATGCTTTCAGCTCTAAAGGTTTTGTTGGCACAGTTGTGCAAAAGAATCTGATTACGAATCAAACACAGAAAGTGCTGAAGAAACTCTGCAGGTCTGACAGAATCTATGGAGAGAAACAGAATTAACATTAACACGGATGGCACTTCTTGAGAAGTATTCAAAAATATTTTGCTTTATTCTAATTATGAATGTTTGCCTGGGCTCCAAAACTTGTTATGGATTCAGCCAGGGAAGTGTTGTTTATACAGATGCCAATAGGACAAGGAGTTTGTTTTCTCAGAGGACTTATAGGATCTTAATCAGATAGCAATGTTTTTGAAGTTTTTTTCTCAATGGCTATTTTCTTATCTTAATAGCTTTAGGAGAATTTCAAAGACTTTCCAGTGTTATTAAAGGGCTCAAGAGTACTGTACACTGTGAATACTGGGTGAATGGATGTGGTGGGGTGATGGCACATTGGAAGAATAAAGGAAACAGCGCAGGTGAAAGAGGAAGTGGGGATCTTTGGAGCATGCTGTGACCTATGGTGCTTTGATCAAAGAATCTCTGAACCTTCTAAATTTAAGTTGGTGTCGGTGGAGTATCAGGAAAATTAGCTGTTATAGTTTTATGACTTTTTTGCGTGAATCTTAATTACTTACATTCTGCCAGCATTCCCACTGCCTTACACTTCTTCAGTCGACATTCCTGACATTTCCTCCTCATGTACATATCCATTTCACAATTCCCACCAGTCTTACATTTATACACAGCATTCTTGGTGATGCTCCTGCGGAAGAATCCTAGTTGGAAAATGAGACAATCTCACATAAATGGTTAATTACTCATTTAAGTAGACTAATCTTTCTAATCCTCTTTTTTTAACTGATTTGTAGCATTCATTGCTCCTTTCTGTATATCTTGATGAAAATCAGAGAACAGAGTAAAATATGTTTGTAAGATCAAAAGTCATAACTGTGGAAATTATTTACATCATAATTAAAAAGCACAGAGTGAAACATTTAGTAGCAGTTTGTAAATGGCAAACAACTGGGAGCAGGAATGTCATTGTAATATCAAAAATAAGTGGGTGGTGTAATTTTATTTTGTCGGCTAATTTTTAATATGTACATGTGCAAGATCCTATCCTTAATAACAGTGCCGCAAGAATGGTTGCTAGCATAGAATAGAATGCCTACAGTATGGAAGCAGGCCATTTGGCCCATCAAGTCCACATTGACCCTCTGAAGAGCATGCCACCCAGACTCACCAGTCTACATTATCCCTGTAATCCTGCATTCCCCATGGCTAACCCACCTAACCTATACATCCCTAGACACTATGGGCAATTTAGCACGGCCAATCCATCCAATGACCTGTCCATCATTGGACTGTGGGAGGAAACCCACACAGCCACAGGGAGAATGTGCAAACTCCACACAGACAGTCACCCAAGGCTGGAATCAAACCTGGGTCCCTGGTACTATGATGCGGCAGTGCTAACCACTGAGCCACCGTGTTAGGCAACCACTGTAGTACAAAAGTTATTTAATAAACCTACTAAGGAGATTCAATTGAGTCAGGCTGTTTATGTACGATTTTCCTTTGATTCTTTATTTCTTCAGTAGTTACATGGGTTCTCATTACTCTTTGTGGCAACTGTTTTAATGTTTCATTTACCTTATAGCCACCGGTTATTGTCAGCAATAATTTCCCAATAAATCATCCTTCCACTATGCTTTGGAGCCACTCTGGCTTACTGAGCTGCCCCCTCGCCTCTGAAACATTAGGTTGTAAGTTCAAGTCCTACTTTCAAACATGCGCTCAAAAATCAAAGTTGATAGTACAGCACAATATGGAGGGAATGCCACACCTTCTTTCAATTGAATCATTAAACCAAGTGTGCCCTCTCAGTTGGATGTATGTCATTTTGAAGAAGAAACGTTGAAATATTGTCAGTACTCTAACCAACGTGTATCACTCAACCATCATCATAGAAGCAGATTGATAAATTTGTATGAACTTGCTGTGCACAAATTGGCTTCTGGGTTTCATACAAGACAATAGTAACAATACATTTCAAAAGTACTTCATGCAATGCATTTTGAGTATCTTGAAGTTCTGAAAGGAGCTGGTATCCTTTTAACCTTCTAAAGATGGAAGAGGAAGATCAATGGAAGGATTCCAGGCAGATTAGTCCACACCATCAATGTTCTATACCTACCAATGATAATCTCACCCACCCTCAGAACACAGGTGCTCATACTAACTGTCTGAACTTTTGATTGTGGAGGCTACAATTCGTAAGGGAGCCTCTGCTGTGTGTGGCCAATCAACAAAGCGGGTAGCACAGGCTGCATAAGGCAATCATACAAAATAGCATGCAGCAGAAATGAATGAGTAAACCATGATCTCTACATCCAATTTATAAGGTTATCAAATTTGAACATGATTTGGTAACCGTTTCTTCTAATAGTTGTTGGAGTTACAAAATATTAATAGGTATTTGATAATGAATTTAAATTGTGAAACATAGTTCTTATTATGTGTGACATTGTATAGTTTTATACTGTACCTGAAAATCTTCAAAGTTTATACAATTGGGCACACATGAGTGAAGGCTCTATTACAATGGTGAATCCAGACATATCTCATGAATAATAAATGAAGATAAAACATTGTGACATGTAAATGGCATCCTTACCTTTGCAACCTTCACAGGTTAGTGCGTTATAGTGATAGCCAGAGGCTTTGTCCCCACACACCACACAGAGCTCCTCCTCACCCTTTATTCGCAAAGATGAATGGTTGAGTCTAGGTCTCTTCATCACAGGTATTCCTGTATCAACATCATTGGGGTCCAGGTACTGTGACTTATTTAGTTCATATGAGTTAGGTGAATAAAGCCCTTCAGCTGAATACTGTGGGTAGTAATTGTGGGCAGAATAGTGTGTTTGTGGCTGGGGTGCTGCCATCGGAGAGAATTGCATGCTGGGATACTGGCTGTATGACGTCATCTGCAGATCTGGATCTTGAAGTGGATAGCTGATCTGATCTGTCAAAACTTCTGCATTTAAAACAGACTAGAAATTATTTTTTGGTAATAAATCTTAACATGAATCTATTATTTTTCCAATGAAGTTATTCACCATCTCCAACTCAAAGGAATTGATTGTTAATTCAGTGTCGCAGTGATGCAAAATTTTGATATTATTGACTTTTAGAGACAACAGGTAGCTTAATAAATAACAAAACAACAGGTTACCGTTATAATGATGCATAATTAGTGTTGGTGCATAAACGGCATAATCTACAACAGCAGGATGGAATTTTATTCCCTAGGGCAGCATGGTCATAATGGTACTGGACTAGTCATCAAGAGGCCTGAACCAATATACTGGGAAAATGAAAGCTGGCAACTATTTTAGTTCCAGTCAAGACAACATGGATCATTCCACCTGACTGTTTAATCAAGGCAGGCAAACTTTCGATTTGGAGTGGGGGAGGAACAGTTGAGAGTTTGGCAGTGTCTCTGAAACTGCACTAATCAGACTGAAGGCTGCTTAAAGCCATCCCTTGCCCTTGCTTCTGAATCCTGTGATCCACCCTCCACAGACTTCCACTCTGGAGGAATCACCCTCCCCAGAATGACACTTACCTTCCCATGGACAATTCTCTATCCTAGGAGCATTGTACCATCAGCAGCCACAGTCTCCACTGTGGTGCTGCTGAGTTTGCGACCAAAGCTGCTAAGGCCAGCAGATCTTGGTGGCCAGGACTTCCTCATCCCAGGCGTTCTAACACTGATAGAAATTTTATTATTAACGAATCAGCTAATGATTGTTGGAAGATTAAGTGTTTACATATCTTGACAAGCTATGGGTTGCTTTCTTCCAACCTGTGGTGTTGCATGTAAAAGATGCCAGTAAGTAAATGAGTTGGGTTTGTGCAACAAGTGAAGATAGTTTCATTGTTACTATTACCAAGATAGGCTTTATAATCCCAGGTCGATTAATTAAATTTAAATCCCATCGACTACCATGCCACCCAGGAGTTGGCTTGGGCTTTTGGATTACCAAACTAATGATATTACCACTTCACTATCATCTTCCCCAGACTCTAGCTACCCTCTGTAATAGCCTAGCAAGCCACCCTGTTGTACCAAATCGCTAATGAAATGTGGAATAAGAATAAAATCAAATGGACCATACAACAACAACCCAGGCGCTGGAACAGACAGAAGCACATCCTGCAAAGTCCTTCTCACTAACACCAGAAGACTTATGCCAAAATAAGAAAAACTGACATATAGATCATGAGCAACGGCCTGAAAGAGCCATACTCACAGAATCATACTTATTGCTAATGCACAGATACTACTATCATCACCCTGGGAAAATCCTGTTTCACTAGTAGGACAGACCAATCTCAGGTAGAATGTCAGTGATTTATAGCTGGGAGGGAGTAGTCCTGACGGTCTCCAACATTGACTCTGGGCCCCATGACATCTCACTACATTTGGTCAAATATGATGAACTGCCAGATGATAGATGCAGGTACAGTTACAACAGTTAAAAGACATTTGGATACATGAATAGGAAAGGTTTAAGAGGGATATGCGCCAAATGTAAGCAAGTGGGACTAGTTTAGCTTGGGAAACTTGGACAGCATGGAAGAATTGGACTGAAGTGTCTGTTTCCATGCTGTATGACTCTGTGACTCAATGATTCTATGAACAAGGAAATCTGCTGCTTACCACTTACTGCATTCCTTTAGCTGAACAATCAACATACCTCCATGTTCAACATAACTTGGAAGAAGCACTAAGTGAAGCAAAGACCTAGAACGTAATCTGGGTGGAGAACTTAAATGTCCATCACTAAGGTCGCATCACCATTGACAAAGGTGGTCAGGTCCTAAAGAACATACTTGTCAGAGGCTTGAGGCAGGTGGTATGAGGATGGAAAAAAAGGAGAAACCTACTTGAGTTGTCCTTGCCAAACTGCTAGTCACAGATGTATTTGTCCATTACAGTATTGGTAAGAGTAACCACTGTACAATCCTTCACATTGAGGACACCATCAGCTATGTTGTGCAGCACTACCATTGTAGTTGATTGGATAGATTCTAAACAAATCTAGCACTTGAAAAGTGGACATCCATGAGACACAGTGAGCTGTAAGCAGCAGCAGCAGAATTCTATTCAATCACAGCCTGGAAACTCATGGTTCAGCATATCCTTCACTTTACCATTATCATTAAGCCAGGCAACCAAGCATTGTTCACCAAGGAGTGTCTGGAACAGTACCAGGCATACCGAAAAATAAGCAGTTCCCACTATCTCTGATACCTAAAACTAAGATGTCAACCTAGTGAAAAAATGCTGGACAAATCTGATCTGGTTCTATTACTACCCAGTCAGTGTACTGTTGATCATTAGCTAAATGAAGGAAGGTGTCCTTCTCAGCAATATCAAACAGCACGTACTCAGCAGTAACCTGCTCACTGATGCTCAGTTTGGGATCAACCAAGGCCCTGGTCCAATCATCGACAAAGGAGTCCAATTCCAAAGGTGAGCTGAGAATGACAGCCTTAACATCAAGTCAGTATTTGACTCAGTGTGGCTTCAAGAAGCACCAATAAAATTTGAGCCAATAGGAATCAGTGAAAACTTTCCTCTGGCTACAAAATATAAAGCGAAATGATTGTGATAGGGTTAAGGTCAGGGTTAGGGTTAGTGTTAGTTGTTGGCAGTCAGTTATCTCAGTCTCCCTGCTGTAGGAGTTCTCCACACCACAGGGAGTGTCCTGGGCCTAGTCACCTTCAGCTGCTGTATCAATGATCTGGGCATCTCTGGCTAGGCCAGCACTTATTACCTATTCCTACTTGCCCATGGTGCAGTGAAGAGGCAACTACATTACTGTAAGTCTGGAGTCACATGTAGGTCAGACCAGGTGAAAACCAATTTCCTTCCCTACAGGACATTAATGATTCAGGCAAGTTTTTAATGACAATCAACAACAGTTTCATTGTCAACATTATACATTTAAATTTAGATTAATTATTGATTTCAAATTCTAACAGCTGCCATTGTGGGATTCAAGCCAGGGACTTCAGAACATTAACTGAGTCTCTAGATTAATAGTGTAGCAATAATACCAATAGGCCATCACCTCGCCCACAATAGCTTAGCTATTTGCTACCCCAACTGTCACACTCATTAACTTCACCACCAGTGCAAAGTTACAGCAGTATGTAACATCTACAAGATGCACCGCAGCAAACTATCAGGCTCTTTTGACATCACACTCAAAACCCACAACTTCTACCATATAGAATGATGAGGCTGATGGGCACATTGAAACCACTACTTGTAATTTCCCTTTCAAGTCACACATCATCCTGACCTGGAACTATATCACTGCTTGGTCACATTTCTGAATCTCCCTGCCTAAACGCACTACTTACCCAAATGGATCAAAGCAGTACAAAAAGATGGCTTTTTTTTAGTCACTAGCAGGATGAGGGCATTGCTGGCTTTGCAGTATTTATTGCCCATCCCTAATTCCCCAGAGGGCTGCTCAGAGTCAACCACATTGCTGTGGGTCTGGAGTCACATCTAGGCCAGACCACATAAAAATGGCATTTTTCTGCCCTAAAGGACATTAATGAACTAGATGGGATTTTCTGTTGATCGATTCATGTTCATCATTAGATTCCTAATTCCAGACATTTTTATTGAATTCAAATTCCACCATCTGCCATGGCGGGATTCAAATCTGGGTCTCCAGAACATTATCTGGGTCTCTGGATTAACAGTCCAGCGATAATACCATTAGGCCATTGCCTCCCCATATTACCACCAGCTTTCCACTAGACATGGGCAATAAATGCTGGTCATACCAGCAGCACCATATTCCATGAAGAAATAAAAAAAATTACATGGCACATTAGTGAGATTTCTCATTGTTGCTCTTTCCTGCATGAAGATTACTTTTTTGCCAATTGTGAAAATGCACAGAAATGATATATGTAATTCCTACATTAAAGAACAATTATTAGAAGAGATATCCGCCAATTGTGACACACCTGCAGTAATGCTCAAACTCTTCTCAAGCATCCATGAAGTTAGTTAACTGGAATAAATGATGTAATGTTTGTTGATCCAGCTGTGGAGTGCATAGTTTTGTTAGACAACATTCAAAAGCAAGCAAGATCATCAGGTTAATTTCTCTTCATCTCGTATTCTAAAAAGACCACAATCAGGGATATATCACCTCTTCTGAGAGACCTCCACTTCAATTTTTAATGCCTTGGGATCTTTTATCAAGGTCTATGGGGTTCAAATTTAGTGCAGCCACAAAACAAGACCAGGTGACATAATGATCTATATCCTTCCTGTCTGTTTGTCTATTGATCATTAGCCACATGCTATCTGTCCCTGCTTAAAGTAACTGCTTAAATTCATTGGAATTTAGAAACATTACTGGCTTTTCTGACCTATGGCTGAGTTTGTGAAACTCTGAGTTTTAAACAAATATCTGGAAATTTGTTTTGTAATTTCCCAATACCCATTATCTTTGGAGGAAAAGGAGGAGTCCCCATTTTGAATGCTGAACAGCCCAGAATCAGCAGAGGTAGAGAGACACATAGAAAGAAAATATTCATTTCCAGAAGACCTTCTTACATCCATCTACTTAATTCGGAGGAGCTGTTCCTTCACTGCCTCAGTTTAGCAGAGAACTTGTCTGTGGGATTGTGCTCATTCTTCAGCCGTATTTGTGGCTTCATTGTCAAGGTTACTATAACCTGAACTTTAATTGCTTAAGAGATATCAGGGAGCTTTGACAAAAATAATCACAATATCTGCTAGTTTGCATGGATCAATACATTGAGAAAATGTTCTTTGCAGTACTTTCCAAGCTGACTAAATATAGTAACTTCCACAGGGAGCCACAGGACCATCAGGTAAGAACTTTTTTCCAGATGTCAGGGATTCCTACAATACAAGACTGATCTGTAGAACACATGGTGCCCTTTCTGTGTCCTCCTTAAATGAATTGAAAA